TTTTTTTTTACTGTAACTTTCATGTTGCTACCACTGATCCACTTAGATTTGAGTTTTGCCTTTAAGAAATGAATAAATCCAGCAACAGCACCAGCTGAATTTTACAAATGTTTTCTTTGTCTCAAAGACATGTCTGAACAAGTGACATTGTAAATATAAGGTGCTCAAATTTATACTGCATTTTCATTTACAATTTAAATGATAGTTCTGCACACAACAAGGTGTCCCAACTGATGCTCCACTGTCCCAGCTGCTCTGGGGAGGCACAATTTGGAGAAAATGCACATGTACATTTTGCAAAATTGTGCCTTTTGTGGTTGATTTGGGCTTTAAAAAACTTGATAGATTGTCTGTATCTGTTCAAGGGTCGATTTATTTTTTATAACTGTTTGAGTAGTCTGTGATTAATGGAGGGTTATTGATATAAACTGATGCAAAAATGTCCCAAAATGACCCCACTGTCTTCTACTTTACTTGAGATTGAACACAGGGGAGTCAGGCAAGGATTGGTGATGTCGGCCAGACTGAAATTATAATAAAATGTATGTGCACAAATTACTGTTGAACTCACATAATGTAACAATGGTAATAATAAAACAGTCCTGTATTATCACTGTTGTTGCATGACGGTGTTCTCAAGAATGTACCTTCACTAAGTTTACAGGCTTTCATTCAGTGTTGCAAGAAATGACAAGACTTGAGTGCTGAACTGAATCTGACTGAGTATGAACGTGCTGTTTCTATAATTATGGCATCAGCAATTCAATTATGTACACGTGCCTGATATTTCTGTTTATGGTTTTATTGTTTAATGAATGTATATTTATCATAGGAAAGTTAATTGAGTATATATCATCACCTTACTAATCCAGATTTATTGGTCAGTCTGTGCATTTGAAACATTAAAGTTAAATTTGTGAAATTCTAATATTAAGTTTAACAATATTATTGTTTATATATTGTAGCAACAGTGCAAATGAGGAGAGATGACGCACTGTCTAAAATCATTTGTCAAATAGGGCATACCACTTTCTCACACGTGACTTCCTCATTTTTAAGTCTTGCAGACTGATAAAGCCGCACAACTTCTGAGGAACTTCACTTGTCCACACATCTTTCATCTGTCTGTTTGAAACACCTGAGGAAAATGTAAATCATGAAAACTTGTTAAATGACACATATCAAAATATTTAAACTGATCTTTGAATACGATGAAAGACTCTAACACAAACATTTGTTCACTTGACTTAAAAAACAATGCACTTTGTGAAAGATGAAAAACTTTGTATTTAAAACCTTTAAGCTGTCATTTGGACATGTTACTGTTGAATATCTTAGTTGCCTAAAACAAATTACAGCTTTGTAAATAAATAGAAAATAAGTAATTAACACTGGTTGTTTGTGACTTTTGCCTTTCACATATAGCTTCCTGTTTTTCTTTTTTATCATTTCATCCTCTGCGTCTTTAAAAAGCAGGTTGTTGTGGCAATGTTAAACTAAATATTACAAAGTGTGTGACATGCAATTATTTGTTTTTGCAAATCTATCAGAGTCAGCAGAAATACCAAACTGGATTTACCCTTTTGTTGGAAATGTTTCATAGAAGACTGGAAAATTTGCAAGAAGTGTATTTAAATTATGAATGAGTTATTTATTTGATCAATGAAGGGCTTGATTGAGTTTAAGTGGCTGAGAAGTTGAGCCTTTTCCGCATTGATGTAGAGGAAGAAGAGACAGCAAAACATTTCTCCATCTGTAACCTGCTCTACAAACCTGAAATAATGAGAGATTAAACACAGTAATGTGAATTGTTCTATGTAAAATCTCCAGAGTTTCTGCCTCTCCTGACACACAAAGATGGCTGCAGCTCTGACTCTCCTTCTCATTGGCTCGGTGCTGCAAGGTGAGTCGTTTAGTCAGTATTGAAGTCAAGCATTCACACCACAATGCAACAGTACCTGTAATATATACTGCAGAAAATTAAAAAACAGTGAGCAACAAAAGCGTCCAGCTGGTTTTCTCTTGGAACTTTAATTTGACAGGTTTTAATCTGAACATCTGGGGAAAAACTACTGTGGGAACAATGCACAATCTTTACAGTCATCATTTTGGTTTATTCTAAGAATAAGGTATAGCGCTAAGGCAACCAGTAAACAGTAAAAAAATCCTCATTAAAATTATTCACTTGTTTTTATTCAAAGATTTGTATCTTGTGTTTCAGGTGCCCTGTGTGGAGAGTTTAAGGCCATAATACCACAGACTATAGAGGTTGTTAGTGGATCCTGTGTGACCATCCCCTGCTCCTTTGACGTTGCAGACCAGTTTGTATCGAAGCTAGACAACACATGTAAAGCACTATGGAGAAAAGATGGAGTTTTTGTGTTTGATAGCAGCAAGACACAAACAACTACAAACAACGGACAACTGACAGGAAACTTGACCAAAAAAGACTGCACCACAACCCTGAACAACATACAACCTGTTGACAACAAGTATTCCTTCAGGCTGGAATGCAGAGGCGTGAGATATAATTTTCTCAATGCAACCTCTATTTCAGTCACAGGTATATTTTAACATCCATTTACTTACACTTAACTCTGACTGTGGGAAACCCTTCTCCCACTTTAATGTGGTATTTGGACGGGTCACCTGTCAATAACTCAGACGATTTGACCATCACCTATGAGCATCCAAATGACACGGGCCTGAGGAGCATCATCACTGTGAACCAACCACAGGAGAGGGATCTTTCCACTTTGCTCTGCCGCACCTCTAACTCTCTGGGATCTGCTTCTCACCACTTTTGTGCCTACTGCCTCCAGACTGAACAAGGTTGCAGAGAATGTCAAGGTCTGTCTTTGTGACGAAAACAAGTTTTATTGATTAGTTGTAAACTGTCACCATCTCTTGAAATACTGATGGACTTGATCTGGAAGACATCACCACACTTCTATTTCTGCACAGTATATCTGTTTAGTGTTTTTGTTTTTCAGTTTCCAGACTAGGCTCCCAACAGTTTTGCATACTGTGATGGAAATGCATGCAAGGGATGTGTCGGTTAGTTACAAGCTTGGTTTCAGCTTCTAGCTTCATCCCTCATGCTTTGTTGGGTTTGTCAAACTTACAAACCCAAACCAAACATATTGATTACTAATAACATTAACATTTATAAGACAATCACAGTCTTGTTGTTTCAACCTGCACAAAATAAAGGCCCATGTTTAAACTACTGATAACAAATATAAATGAATCACATAACATTTTATTCATCTTCTGTAATACTTTTATATACTGTACCAATATGTGATGTAATACATTATAATTTAAGACTTGTGTTTAATATGCCTATAAATACAACTCATTCTTCATGTATGTCCAAGTGTATACACCACCAAAATAAAAACAAAACAATATATTTATGCTTCTGACTGACCACCATACTCTTCTGTTCTCTCTCATACAGAATGTTCAGGTGGAGTTACGTTTCTAGCCTTCATCATCACAGTTGGTGTTTTATCAGCAGCACTATTCTGTGCTCTTCTGTTTGCTATCAGGTAGGTAACAGCTTGGGACAACATGTATGTACTACTAATAGGGCTGGCAAAAAAAAAAAAACACCCAGATGGAACTGTTGCTAGGAGCACTGTTGGAATATTTGTACTACTGGAGTACCGCAAGCCTGAAATATCACATCAACACAAAGCATTTAGCAGCGAAGCCTGAGGCCCGAGCTTACACAGCCTCTGATGTCAGCGCTAGCAGCCAGCCTTGTCAAGCCACACTGGACCAGGCGTTCAGATGCAAACTGAGTGAGTCTACCTGTGACCGACTAACTATCTCCCTTGCAAAATGGTTTGCAATGGACTGCAGACCAGATTTGGTGGCAGAAGACAGAGGGACAATTGTGTCCAAAATCCAGCAGCTTTGTGACACTTCTGCCAAAATTCATTTTAATTGAAATTTTTGTAAATACTTTGACAGCAGAAGTTGATGCATGCAATCAGTTTAGATTAATTAATCACAAAGCATGTAATTAATTAGATACATTTTTTAATCGCCTGACAGGCCTAATTACTGATATAAAGACTGAGTCTATGTGGTGTCTTCTAGCTTTAAATGCTCTGTGAACAGAATGACTCTTGTCTAAAATCACTGTTTAGTGCCATCAATTTTTTGTGAATACACAAAATAATAAATATATTCCATGAAAAACAACTTAGATTTAAAGTATGCAAGATCACAATGGACAACAAATCTACTAACGAACTATGGTTGGGTTTCCATCTAAATGTAGTGCAAATTTTAGCCAAATTTTCAGAAAATCAGCAAAAGAAAATGTAAATGTTCGTTCTTTTCCATCCACTTCTGTTATGTCAATATTGGGAGTTAGTTCATTGAGACGTCATTAAAAGAGGGGCAGTCAATCCTTAAAACTGAGGAAGACAATGGATTTAATAACTGACTACACACCAGACAATAGAAATAGAGTTTTAAACAACTAATATTACAGCTCTGTGCTCTTGGAAGAGCTCTGGTAACAGACCTCTGTGCATAAGCATGTTATAAGCTAACAAAGACAGCTTTCAGTGGCCAATGCAATGACGATACATCGTGACTGTACTGTACATCATCATTTATTGGCTGAATTTGTTTCCACTGGACATTTACCTTGCAATACACCAAGGATTTTATTATTTTGTAGAGCTCGGGGGACTGGCTGCCATACTCCTAAAAAGAGTCAGAGCACAGGTGACACCAGCCCAGCTGTGATGAGTCAAGGCCTGACAACTGAAAATGGAAATAAGGTATGGACCATTTCCTAATTTGGGAAACAATAATCTAACAGAACATCTTTACCACTTGTGGGTTTTTTTTTTAATTTCAGGTGTCCTGCACATCAGAAGAGGATATTTATGTCAACACCGATATGATGAAAAAGTCAGATATGCCAAACACTCATCTAGCACATCAACAGGTTGCCAGTAAAAGCTCAGACAAGACGAATGAGGCAAACGGTGATGTGGTTTACTCTAGTGTGATCTGGAAGAGCAAGGAGAAGAAGGGAGAATGCTCTGGAGGCAGGGGCCCATCTGGTAGCTCCTGTCTGGAAGAGGAGAGGTGCATGGAGGGAGGCATGCACACAAATTATGTGAGCAATGCAGTGGAGATGGGGAGTCTATATGACAACACTAGAAAAGATGTAAAGGAGGCTGTGTATAGTGAATATGCCCAGGTTCATTTTAGAGACACAAATGTGATGTAATGCATGTGCCATTACTACAGCTGTTTTTACTGCGGCATTGCTACATTGTATTTGATATTATTGGCTATTATTTATTCAGTAGAAGTTAATCATGCATTAGTATTATCTTCTCAATACAGATGTAGCCAGTTTAAAGAGTTTTCAGTTAAAGGAACAGTGTCTTCTCCTGGTTATTTATTTTTAGTTTTAATTGTTCAGGAGGTTTTTACAAGGAGCCAAATTATCCGGATAGGTCTCTTCCTCTCCAAAACAATCGGTCCAGGTGATTTAAATCGATTAAAACCCTGAGTAAAACAGTTTCATGTGACAAATCAGTGTTTCTCCAGCAATGGTTGGCATATAGCAGATGGGCTGCTCACCCAGCACCTGCTAATGTGTGTTCAGTGTCCCCGTTTTTCTCTGATAACTTAATGTGTGCTCACCTTATTTGTGATCCAGTGTTCAGGAGGTTTTTACTGTGAATCGAGTTGTGCACAGAGGTCTCCTCTTGTCCAATACAAATGGACCTGGTGATTTAAATCAGTAAACACATTGAATAAAGAAGTTTCATGTTACAAATCAGTGTTTCTCTGATGCTGTTCGGCTCATAAGGGATGGAACAACTTTTTCTCTGATAACTGAAGATCTCTATGTTCAGGAGGTTTTACCAGGAGCCATATTATCCAGAGGTCTCTTGCTCTCAAAAAACACTGTGATTTGAACTGCTCAAAACATTTCATTTAATAAAATGCTTTCGCTTAAAAATAAGATTTGTGTTTTTCCTTTTTCATCGCAGAATGACTGCTAACTGCAGTGGCTGACACAAAACTGGGAATGGCTTTGTATAGAGCCAGTGTTTGGTTTGTCTCTCCTGGGCTTCTGTACAAACATGGCGGTGCAACATGCTAATTTCCGTGGACAGGTACCTGCTTCCTATGTATATATAAAAAGCTGATTCTAAGGTAACGAGAACACAATGATTCTTGTGCGAGTGGTGCATTCAGGAACACTCATTCCCAGTGCCGGAGCGCACTCTAGCACAAACTTGACCTTTCATAAATGTGGAGTGCTGTCAGAATGTACCATTCAGTTATCCAGAGTATCGCACCTGTAGCAACTCATAATGTAATAATGGCTCATAATGTAATAACTAATAACGCTTCATAATGTAATAACATAAATGTAATAACAGCTCATAATGTAATAATGGCTCACATTGTGAGAAGAAGTGTTGCATTATTATCATTTTTAGGTCAAAACTTCACACACTGACAACGAGAGTGCACTTTAGGGCAGAGGTCTAAGTTTTATTTTAAGTTTTATTGTACTTTATTAATCCCCCTGAGGGGAAATTCAATGTTTTCACATTGCTTGTCAATTACACACAGGTCCGAAAGACACACACATGCACAAACAGGACCTATACATGCACAAAGTGATGAGATGTCAGAGTGAGGGAGCTGCCCTTTGGTCAGGCACGCCGAGCGGTTGGGGGGTTCAGTGCCTTGCTCAAGGGCACCTCGGCAGTGCCCAGGAGGTGAACTGGCACATCTCCAGCCACCAGTCCACGCTCCAAATTTTGGTCAGGACAATAAATGCAGGACACAATAACTTCTACAATAAAAACACATTTAAGATTGGTCTTTTCAAATAAGTAAGTGCACACTCTCTCCTTCCATACAACCTAGTGAAGACCTCCCAGTCAAATGTTGCTGTTATTTTATTGTTGGTCTTAATGCCAATTTAATAAAGACTTTTAATAAGCATTGTTTTTATGTTAAATACATGCGTAAGCGTAACATATTCATTCAATTTACTTTATTTTGGAACTTGTGCAAGAATGAGAAGAGCGTTTTAGAACCATGTAATAACAATGGACCAGCTCAAAAGTTCTGAAAATGTAAACACAGCCTGTCAGGACACCCAGCCTGTCAGGACACCCAGCCTGTCAGGACACCCAAGTAAAAACAAAATGCATAAATAATACATAACCATAAATCATAGTTGCCAACAAAAATCAGGTCCAGGGGGCTCCATTTGTCAGTGACTGTGCCAGTGTTCACTCAGATCAAGGCTTAACGAGTTTTTTTTTTTTTTTTTTTTTTTTTTAAAGAAAGCTTTACTTCTTCCAATGAATGTCTTTAATATGGACCCATCCAAAGGATATGTGTTTAGTCACGATCCAGGCTGTAATCCACCTGGCATTTTGGCTGAAGAGCTGCCTGATATTGGACACAAGGCCACTATTGCGTCCAGCCTCTCTGTATAACCTACTAATACTTATGCAGCAGTCTTCATCCGTCATAATATTTAAACTTTCCACCAACTGCTTACCTGCAACAATCAGACAGTGGAAATGAGCATGGCATTCTCAAAGGCCCAAAATACCTAACACGGGTTCCACCTAGTGGCTCAACTTAATACATCTTACATAATAAAATGTGAGAATGCAGTTACGATTAAATAATTCTTGGTTTCAGTAATTTAGTTTACTATGTGCTGAAACCCATGCCGTTTGCATTATTTGCACCTTTAAGATGTTAAAATGATGATAATGCAGCAGTTTTCTCATAGTATGAGCCATTATTACATTATGAACTGTTATTACATTATGAGCGATGCCACTAAGGCTCAAAATGTAATAGGTTATTGCATTATTACATTATGCGCAAAGCCGTTATTACGTTATGTGCTCATGATTTTATTACATTATGAGCCGATTATTACATTATGAACTTTTATTACATTGAAGTTATTACATTATGAGCCGTTATTACATTATGAGTTGCAACACATACATTTTATTATAATTTCAGTCTGGCCGACATCACCAATCCTTGCCTGACTCCCCTGTGTTCAATCTCAAGTAAAGTAGAAGACAGTGGGGNCACATACATTTTATTATAATTTCAGTCTGGCCGACATCACCAATCCTTGCCTGACTCCCCTGTGTTCAATCTCAAGTAAAGTAGAAGACAGTGGGGTCATTTTGGGACATTTTTGCATCAGTTTATATCAATAACCCTCCATTAATCACAGACTACTCAAACAGTTATAAAAAATAAATCGACCCTTGAACAGAAACAGACAAACTATCAAGTTTTTTAAAGCCCAAATCAACCACAAAAGGCACAATTTTGCAAAATGTACATGTGCATTTTCTCCAAATTGTGCCTCCCCAGAGCAGCTGGGACAGTGGAGCATCAGTTGGGACACCTTGTTGTGTGCAAAACTATCATTTAAATTGTAAATGAAAATAAAGTATAAATTTGAGCACCTTATATTTACAATGTCACTTGTTCAGACATGTCTTTGAGACAAAGAAAACATTTGTAAAATTCAGCTGGTGCTGTTGCTGGATTTATTCATTTCTTAAAGGCAAAACTCAAATCTAAGTGGATCAGTGGTAGCAACATGAAAGTTACAGTAAAAAAAAAAACCTGTCTGGATGGTTTTAGTTACTGTTAAAGACCATTCTTAAAATGTATACAAGAATTTAAACTTTATTTTTGCATCTTCTACAATTTGGTTTTGGCAGTAGCAGATTGTTTCTGTAAGCGGGGGTTGCGTATGCCGCACAGAAAAAAAGCTGCATAACTTATGGTGATTTTTCTCCAATCAGATCAGTGGACGACTGAGCCAACTCTCACTATGTCTGCAGCTACTTCACATCCAGTCTCCTTCCTGTACCTCTCCTGCCACTGACTGCAGGGCATATGCATTCTTCACTGGGTCTATGTGGTCCCACTCAGCATGAATCCTCTCTGTCCAGTCCAGGTAGGCCTGAAGCCCTTCCACAAAGTTTGCAGTAATCCAGAGACCTGAGCCCCCCTGTGAGATCATTTCCTAGTGTGCTGACAAAGGAAGAAATGATCAGTAACTTACACTAGATGGCAGCCTGTTCATATGTTGCAACACTGAGCAGGAGATCGTTAATCTTCCTCTTCGGTCAGTAACTTCAGAGAGGTGTCTTTGCTGAGGCAACTGTGTTTCCTTTCCCTCTCTGTGGAGGCAGTAACCTCTCAAAGGAGTGTCAGGTGAGATTACTTGGCGAGTGATTTTCATTTTCGTTTAAAGGTCCAGTCTGTAGAGTTTAGGATGATATATTGGCAAAAATGGAAAACTACATAGACACAAAACTGGGAATGGCTTTATATAAAGCTGCAGTTAGCAGTCATTCTGCGATGAAAAAGGAAAAACACAAATCTTTTTTTAATGTGAAAGCACTTTATTTAATGTTTTGAGCAGTTTAAATCACAGTGTTTTTTGAGAGCAAGAGACCTCTGGATAATTTGGCTCCAGGTAAAACCTCCTGAACATATAGATCTTTAGTTATCAGAGAAAAAGTTGGTCCATCCCTTATGAGCCGAACAGCATCAGAGAAACACTGATTTGTAACATGAAACTTCTTTATTCAATGTGTTTACTGATTTAAATCACCAGGTCCATTTGTATTGGACAAGAGGAGACCTCTGTGCACAACTCGATTCACAGTAAAAACCTCCTGAACACTGGATCACAAATAAGGTGAGCACACATTAAGTTATCAGAGAAAAACGGGGACACTGAAAACACATTAGCAGGTGCTGGGTGAGCAGCCCATCTGCGATATGCCAACCATTGCTGGAGAAACACTGATTTGTCACATGAAACTGTTTTACACAGGGTTATAATCGATTTAAATCACCTGGACAGATTGTTTTGGAGAGGAAGAGACCTCTCCGGATAATTCGGCTCCTTGTAAAAACCTCCTGAACAATTAAAACTAAAAATAAATAACCAGGAGAAGACACTGTTCCTTTAACTGAAAACTCTTTAAACTGGCTACATCTGTATTGAGAAGATAATACTAATGCATGATAAACTTCTACTGAATAAATAATAGCCAATAATATCAAATACAATGTAGCAATGCCGCAGTAAAAACAGCTGTAGTAATGGCACATGCATTACATCACATTTGTGTCTCTAAAATGAACCTGGGCATATTCACTATACACAGCCTCCTTTACATCTTTTCTAGTGTTGTCATATAGACTCCCCATCTCCACTGCATTGCTCACATAATTTGTGAGCATGCCTCCCTCCATGCACCTCTCCTCTTCCAGACAGGAGCTACCAGATGGGCCCCTGCCTCCAGAGCATTCTCCCTTCTTCTCCTTGCTCTTCCAGATCACACTAGAGTAAACCACATCACTGTTTGCCTCATTCGTCTTGTCTGAGCTTTTACTGGCAACCTGTTGATGTGCTAGATGAGCGTTTGGCATATCTGACTTTTTCATCATATCGGTGTTGACATAAATATCCTCTTCTGATGTGCAGGACACCTGAAATTAAAAATAACAAAAACCACAAGTGGTAAAGATGTTCTGTTAGATTATTGTTTCCCAAATTAGGAAATGGTCCATACCTTATTTCCATTTTCAGTTGTCAGGCCTTGACTCATCACAGCTGGGCTGGTGTCACCTGTGCTCTGACTCTTTTTAGGAGTATGGCAGCCAGTCCCCCGAGCTCTACAAAATAATAAAATCCTTGGTGTATTGCAAGGTAAATGTCCAGAGGAAACAAATTCAGCCAATAAATGATGATGTACAGTACAGTCACGATGTATCGTCATTGCATTGGCCACTGAAAGCTGTCTTTGTTAGCTTATAACATGCTTATGCACAGAGGTCTGTTACCAGAGCTCTTCCAAGAGCACAGAGCTGTAATATTAGTTGTTTAAAACTTTATTTCTATTGTCTGGTGTGTAGTCAGTTATTAAATCCATTGTCTTCCTCAGTTTTAAGGATTGACTGCCCCTCTTTTAATGACGTCTCAATGAACTAACTCCCAATATTGACATAACAGAAGTGGATGGAAAAGAACGAACATTTACATTTTCTTTTGCTGATTTTCTGAAAATTTGGCTAAAATTTGCACTACATTTAGATGGAAACCCAACCATAGTTCGTTAGTAGATTTGTTGTCCATTGTGATCTTGCATACTTTAAATCTAAGTTGTTTTTCATGGAATATATTTATTATTTTGTGTATTCACAAAAAATTGATGGCACTAAACAGTGATTTTAGACAAGAGTCATTCTGTTCACAGAGCATTTAAAGCTAGAAGACACCACATAGACTCAGTCTTTATATCAGTAATTAGGCCTGTCAGGCGATTAAAAAATGTATCTAATTAATTACATGCTTTGTGATTAATTAATCTAAACTGATTGCATGCATCAACTTCTGCTGTCAAAGTATTTACAAAAATTTCAATTAAAATGAATTTTGGCAGAAGTGTCACAAAGCTGCTGGATTTTGGACACAATTGTCCCTCTGTCTTCTGCCACCAAATCTGGTCTGCAGTCCATTGCAAACCATTTTGCAAGGGAGATAGTTAGTCGGTCACAGGTAGACTCACTCAGTTTGCATCTGAACGCCTGGTCCAGTGTGGCTTGACAAGGCTGGCTGCTAGCGCTGACATCAGAGGCTGTGTAAGCTCGGGCCTCAGGCTTCGCTGCTAAATGCTTTGTGTTGATGTGATATTTCAGGCTTGCGGTACTCCAGTAGTACAAATATTCCAACAGTGCTCCTAGCAACAGTTCCATCTGGGTGTTTTTTTTTTTTTTGCCAGCCCTATTAGTAGTACATACATGTTGTCCCAAGCTGTTACCTACCTGATAGCAAACAGAAGAGCACAGAATAGTGCTGCTGATAAAACACCAACTGTGATGATGAAGGCTAGAAACGTAACTCCACCTGAACATTCTGTATGAGAGAGAACAGAAGAGTATGGTGGTCAGTCAGAAGCATAAATATATTGGGTTTTTTATTTCAATGACGTATATGCTTGGACATACATGAAGAATGAGTTGTATTTATAGGCATATTAAACACAAGTCTTAAATTATAATGTATTACATCACATATTGGTACAGTATATAAAAGTATTACAGAAGATGAATAAAATGTTATGTGATTCATTTATATTTGTTATCAGTAGTTTAAACATGGGCCTTTGATTTTTCTATTTAATTCATCATTATGTAGTCTTAGGAGTAGTAGTGCAGGTTGAAACAACAAGACTGTGATTGTCTTATAAATGTTAATGTTATTAGTAATCAATATGTTTGGTTTGGGTTTGTAAGTTTGACAAACCCAACAAAGCATGAGGGATGAAGCTAGAAGCTGAAACCAAGCTTGTAACTAACCGACACATCCCTTGCATGCATTTCCATCACAGTATGCAAAACTGTTGGGAGCCTAGTCTGGAAACTGAAAAACAAAAACACTAAACAGATATACTGTGCAGAAATAGAAGTGTGGTGATGTCTTCCAGATCAAGTCCATCAGTATTTCAAGAGATGGTGACAGTTTACAACTAATCAATAAAACTTGTTTTCGTCACAAAGACAGACCTTGACATTCTCTGCAACCTTGTTCAGTCTGGAGGCAGTAGGCACAAAAGTGGTGAGAAGCAGATCCCAGAGAGTTAGAGGTGCGGCAGAGCAAAGTGGAAAGATCCCTCTCCTGTGGTTGGTTCACAGTGATGATGCTCCTCAGGCCCGTGTCATTTGGAGGCTCATAGGTGATGGTCAAATTGTCTGAGTTATTGACAGGTGACCCGTCCAAATACCATATTAAAGTGGGAGAAGGGTTTCCCACAGTCTCACAGGAACAGTTAAGTTGGGCTCCAGCTTTGGTGCAGTTAGAAGAGGGCAGGATCTCTGGAGCAACTGTGAAGAGTGGACACCAAAGAGAAGAGTTGAGTTGTGTTAGGGAAGGTAAGTTTGCAGTAATAAAGATAAAAAGGTCAAGGTTTTTGTGTCTACATTTGTTTACATTCAGTGTGTAAAGTTTGTGCTTGCAAATGCATTTTGTTGAATGGTTCTTGTTTGTTTTCTATCCTAACAGAGGTGCCCTCAAGGGGGGAGTTCGAGCATGGCCTCTCTGTAATAGGTGCTGGTCCCCTTGGTGAAAATATTTGGAAGCCAATATTATTGTCTTTAAGAGGCTGTGGTGGGCTTATTCTTTAAGCCAGAGCGAAGGTAGTGGTATTTTGTGAAACTAGACATTATAAGGCATCCACTGTTACCATCCATTAATGCCAGCCATGTTGGCAAAGGGAAGGGGCTAAAGTTGGGCTTAATTTTTGCTAGGGAACATCAGGCAACCAAGGGTTCCCTTAAACTCTCACCTCAAGATATTTGCATGAAAATGGGGTTCTGTACCCACAAGTGTCCCCTAAAGTTGAAAAGACTTGTTCTTGGTAAATGTTTTGTTCCTACGATCAATATAATCCATCAAATTGAAGCTGTTTTTTTCTCTTTGTAAGAAAAAGCCAGCAAGCCTACTTGAAGAATAATCAGTTGCCTAACATGTACAGATACACGATACATTAAAACAGGAGTGCTGTGAAACTAAAAATGTGAACTGTGCTGGTTTTGCTCTATGCACTTCTGATCATTTGTTTTATTGACTGTAAAATAAGAAACCAGTATCACTGTGATTCCTCAACTCTCATATTGGTTCAGTTTTCAGCTAGCCTGTAGCTACAGTATGCTACAACAACATGAGACGAATTCCTAAAATTCAGTTATGGCTTTTTGGTTTTGGTGTGCCACTCCAAGATTTTCACTTGCCCCCCTGGCTAACCCGATGAAAAATTCACTTATGTCTAAATTTGACGATGCTACAAAATGTTAATGTAACAAATGAACTCACATGAAATATTAGCTGTCAAACTTGTGCTAACAGCTGACTCAGCGCTGCCATCTTGTTTGTTGTAGGTGGCAGTACAGGAGATTGTCTTTCCATGATGGAGGTGAAGAGAAGCAGTGAAGCTGACAACAGAGGTCTGGACTTTAGTTTTGTCCTGATTCTCCTGCAGTGTCTCCTGACTGTCACCAAGGCCGGGGGTCCATGTCAGATTTGGAGGGTGAGACAGACAGGGAGCTGGAGCAGAGCACGTCAAACTCACTGAGGTTCCCTCCTTCACCTCCAGTGTGGACGGAGTCAGAGTCGGTCTGAGTGGATCAGCTGGTGGGAAGGTACATTTTGACCAGTAACTGAATTTGCCAAAATAATAAATGCAAAATAAGATCAAAGCAGTTCTACAAGGGAAGGGAATGAAGTGTAAGTAAATGGATTTTAAAACATACCTCTGACTGAAAAAGAGATTTTTTCAGAAAAATCATATCCTAAGCCTGAGCAGTCCAGTCTGAAGGAATATTTTTTGTTGTTGTCAACAGGTTGTATGTTGTTCAGGGTTGTGGTGCAGTCTTTTTTGGACAAGTCTCCTGTCAGTTTTCCGTCGTTTATAGTTGTTTGTGGCTTGCTGCTATCAAACACAGTAACTCCATCTTTTTTCCATCGTGCTTTACATGTGTTATCTAGGTTTGAAACAAACTGGACAGTCACGTCAAAGGAGCAGGGGATGGTCACACAGGATCCACTAACAACCTCTATAGTCTGTGGCATTATGGCCTCAAACACTCCACACAGGGCACCTGAAACACAAGATACAAATCTTGAGGGAGGATAGTTTACAATAGTGAAGTAATTTTACTGCTGTTATATTACTTTTTGCACCTTTTGTTATTTTTGTACAGGAGTCATTGATCCATATATAGATAAACTCTAACTCACCTCGCAGCAAACAGGCAATGACAACGATATTCAGAATTCCCACCATCTTTGTTTGTCAGGAGATGCAGAAACTCAAGTCTAAAACAGTCAGGAGATTACAGATGAAACAGTTCATGTGTTTGATTCATTTCATCTCTAAAGCAAAATGATCTTTTGAGCATGATTTATCTGAAGGCCAGTGCCAAATGTGACATTTAGGTTCTCAGATCGACATTACTTTATGTTGAACCTGCACATTTTTTAATCATTATCCTGGTGGAAAAGTGAGCCCCTTAAAAGTTTTAACTAAATCCTACCCAATTTTAATTTAATGGGTTGTATATGATGTGTCAGCAGCTCTAGGATTCAGTGCAGTTATTTATCACACTAAGGACAAAAAGTAATAGATTACGACATTGAAAATAGTTTCTTGCTAAACCAAATTTGAACAATTAAATTAATAACAAAACAATTCTAGCGGATTCAACAGTAGAGTACTGTAGAGATAAAAAATGTGGTTCTTTCTAAAATGGGGAAGAAACATTCGCTGATTAGCTCCAGATAGCTGTTTGTTACACATTTCATAAAAGTGACAACACCCTGTCTGTATCTAACAGAATGCAGAACATGAAAATGATAAAAAATGAAAAACAGGAAATGAATTTCTTTAACAAACACCAACAAAGATTTGATGAACTTGTTTGCGGTTTTATTTTTAATGATTTTGATGATTTAAAAGAATTCTCCCTCTCAATCACCATCTGTGGATCTGTTTTCAATTTCCTGTCAAAATTTTCAAATATATAGTGATCGATGTAAAGCCCAGTGAGACAAGCATTAACTCTTATCAAATAAATCTTGCTGTTTTATTCTTAATATTTGACTTATCCATGTGTTTCTTATCGAAGTTAAATTTACTTACATTTTCATCAGGTCTGTTTTGCAGATAGATGTTGAGCTGAAGTCAAGCTCTTAAGAAACGATGTTATATTTTCAGAGAGCTTAGCAAATGAGGAACTTGCACAAGTGGAAGTGCAAGAGTGATCTCTGCCGCACATTTCCCACTAAAGAGCCAGACAGGTTTTACATAATGTGACAATGTCAACGTTTGTCTCCCAGCAGTAGTGTTCTCTATGATGTGAAAACCAACATGGTGGCCAATAGAAGTCGATATTCAGAAGAGTCTGTAGTTGAGTGCTGTTGAATGTCTGGAAATAACATCCTATACTGTTCACCTCTGGTGGTCTCTCAAAGTACCATGTTAGGTGTGTTTAAGTCACTCTGTCATTTACTTCCTCATTGTTTTGGATCAAACAAACCCCACCACTGTATGTATAAAAAAAATAATAACATTAATAACTGCTAAATCAATTTCCTTCAAATATTAAGTCCAGTCACCAGAATAAAAGGGGGATTGTGGATGGTTTTACACCTTGGGTAAATGGCTGCCAAGCATTAGACAGCAGCAGACCACTCCTCAAGACCATGAATTATATTTGATTTTTTTTAATGACAGGTTGGAACATTTCCAGTTGTGTTTGTAGCCGTAGTGTTTGCATCAGTCAAAACATGATGTTTTCCAAACCAAATGGTTTTTGTGCCTAAACCTAACCACACATTAATCACAGCACTGTTACAACATAAAATGAAATGTTAAGTTTCAACATATCCACTACATATGAAACATACAATGCCAACATTTATTCTAGCAGTTTTATTCAGGTTTGAAATGTAATATGGGCTTTGTAGAACAAATATGTACGTAATACATTTGTTTGACAAAATTAACAATATGTAATTCTATGTGGTTTGTTATAGTTTTGGTTAAAATAAATCACAGAGAGCTCTACCTCTCATGAACAAACTGTCATCACAGATATCTGAAAACACTTATTTGGGATCTGGGAGGTGTAGTGCTGCATGTGAAGTACTTTGAACAGCAATCACAAATATAGATTATATATATATAGGCAATTCTGAGCAACAAGCAGAAGAATTGGAAGACATTTAGGAATTTAGCAACACAATCTGCCTTTTGCATCANCTGATGGGAAGGTACATTTTGACCAGTCACTGAATAAACAATCATTTCTCTCTAGTTTTATACTATTTGCAAAACAATAAATGCAAAATATGATTAAAGCAGGTCTACAAGAGAAGGAGAGTTAAGTGTAAGTGAAACATACCTGTGACTGAAAAAGAGATTTGTTCAGAAAAATCATATCCTAAGCCTGCGCAGTCCAGTCTGAAGGAATATTTTTTGTTGTTGTCATCAGGTTGTATGTTGTTCAGGGTTGTGGTGCAGTCTTTTTTGGTCAAGTCTCCTGTCAGTTGTCCGCTGTTTGTAGTTGTTTGTGGCTGGCTGCTATCAAACACAGTAACTCCATCTTTTTTCCATTGTGCTTTACATGTGTTGTCTAGCTGCAATTTATATTTGTTCTCCACGTCAAAGGAGCAGGGGATGGTCACACAGGATCCACTAGGAACCTCTATAGTCTGTGGCATTATGACCTTAAACACTCCACACAGGTCACCTGAAACACAAGATACAAATCTTTGAATAAGAGCAAGTGAAGACTTTTTTACTGTTTACTGGTTGCCTTAGTGCTATACATTATTATTAGAATAGGTCAGAATTTGAATGTTAATTATAATACATTACAGCAGAGGACAAATGAACTCACATGAAATGTCAGCTGTTAAACTTGTGCTAACGGCTGACTCAGTGCTGCCATCTTGTTTGTTGTAGGTGGCAGTACAGGAGATTGTCTTTCCGTGATGGAGGTGAGAAGCAGTGAAGCTGACAACAGAGGTCTGGACTTTAGTTTTGTCCTGATTCTCCTGCAGTGTCTCCTGACTGTCACCAAGGCCGGGGGTCCATGTCAGAGTTGGAGGGTGAGACAGACAGGGAGCTGGAGCAGAGCACGTCAAACTCACTGAGGTTCCTTTCTTCACCTCCAGTGTGGACGGAGTCGGAGTCAGAGTCGGTCTGGGTGGATCAGCTGGTGGGAAGGTAGATTTTGACCAGTCACTGAATAAACAATCATTTCTCTCCATTTGTTTTTTGAAAAAAAAAACAATAAATGCAAAATATGATCAAAGCAGTTCTACAAGAGAAAGGAGTGAAGTGTAAGTAAATGGGTGTTAAAACATACCTTTGACTGAAAAAGAGATTTTTTCAGAAAAATCATATCCTAAGCCTACGCAGTCCAGTCTGAAGGAATACTTTTTGTTGTTGTCAACAGGTTGTATGTTGTTCAAGGTTGTGGTGCAGTCTTTTTTGGACAAGTCTCCTGTCAGTTATCCGTAGTTTATAGTTGTTTGTGGCTAGCTGCTATCAAACACAGTAACTCCATCTTTTTTCCATAGTGCTTTACATGTGTTGTCTAGGTTTGATACAAACTGGTCTGTCACGTCAAAGGAGCAGGGGATGGTCACACAGGATCCACTAACAACCTCTATAGTCTGTGGCATTATGGCCTCAAACACTCCACACAGGGCACCTGAAACACAAGATACAAATCTTGAGGGAGGATAGTTTACAATAGTGAAGTAATTTTACTGCTGTTATATTACTTTTTGCACCTTTTGTTATTTTTGTACAGGAGTCATTGATCCATATATAGATAAACTCTAACTCACCTCGCAGCAAACAGGCAATGACAACGATATTCAGAATTCCCACCATCTTTGTTTGTCAGGAGATGCAGAAACTCAAGTCTAAAACAGTCAGGAGATTACAGATGAAACAGTTCATGTGTTTGATTCATTTCATCTCTAAAGCAAAATGATCTTTTGAGCATGATTTATCTGAAGGCCAGTGCCAAATGTGACATTTAGGTTCTCAGATCGACATTACTTTATGTTGAACCTGCACATTTTTTAATCATTATCCTGGTGGAAAAGTGAGCCCCTTAAAAGTTTTAACTAAATCCTACCCAATTTTAATTTAATGGGTTGTATATGATGTGTCAGCAGCTCTAGGATTCAGTGCAGTTATTTATCACACTAAGGACAAAAAGTAATAGATTACGACATTGAAAATAGTTTCTTGCTAAACCAAATTTGAACAATTAAATTAATAACAAAACAATTCTAGCGGATTCAACAGTAGAGTACTGTAGAGATAAAAAATGTGGTTCTTTCTAAAATGGGGAAGAAACATTCGCTGATTAGCTCCAGATAGCTGTTTGTTACACATTTCATAAAAGTGACAACACCCTGTCTGTATCTAACAGAATGCAGAACATGAAAATGATAAAAAATGAAAAACAGGAAATGAATTTCTTTAACAAACACCAACAAAGATTTGATGAACTTGTTTGCGGTTTTATTTTTAATGATTTTGATGATTTAAAAGAATTCTCCCTCTCAATCACCATCTGTGGATCTGTTTTCAATTTCCTGTCAAAATTTTCAAATATATAGTGATCGATGTAAAGCCCAGTGAGACAAGCATTAACTCTTATCAAATAAATCTTGCTGTTTTATTCTTAATATTTGACTTATCCATGTGTTTCTTATCGAAGTTAAATTTACTTACATTTTCATCAGGTCTGTTTTGCAGATAGATGTTGAGCTGAAGTCAAGCTCTTAAGAAACGATGTTATATTTTCAGAGAGCTTAGCAAATGAGGAACTTGCACAAGTGGAAGTGCAAGAGTGATCTCTGCCGCACATTTCCCACTAAAGAGCCAGACAGGTTTTACATAATGTGACAATGTCAACGTTTGTCTCCCAGCAGTAGTGTTCTCTATGATGTGAAAACCAACATGGTGGCCAATAGAAGTCGATATTCAGAAGAGTCTGTAGTTGAGTGCTGTTGAATGTCTGGAAATAACATCCTATACTGTTCACCTCTGGTGGTCTCTCAAAGTACCATGTTAGGTGTGTTTAAGTCACTCTGTCATTTACTTCCTCATTGTTTTGGATCAAACAAACCCCACCACTGTATGTATAAAAAAAATAATAACATTAATAACTGCTAAATCAATTTCCTTCAAATATTAAGTCCAGTCACCAGAATAAAAGGGGGATTGTGGATGGTTTTACACCTTGGGTAAATGGCTGCCAAGCATTAGACAGCAGCAGACCACTCCTCAAGACCATGAATTATATTTGATTTTTTTTAATGACAGGTTGGAACATTTCCAGTTGTGTTTGTAGCCATAGTGTTTGCATCAGTCAAAACATGATGTTTTCCAAACCAAATGGTTTTTGTGCCTAAACCTAACCACACATTAATCACAGCACTGTTACAACATAAAATGAAATGTTAAGTTTCAACATATCCACTACATATGAAACATACAATGCCAACATTTATTCTAGCAGTTTTATTCAGGTTTGAAATGTAATATGGGCTTTGTAGAACAAATATGTACGTAATACATTTGTTTGACAAAATTAACAATATGTAATTCTATGTGGTTTGTTATAGTTTTGGTTAAAATAAATCACAGAGAGCTCTACCTCTCATGAACAAACTGTCATCACAGATATCTGAAAACACTTATTTGGGATCTGGGAGGTGTAGTGCTGCATGTGAAGTACTTTGAACAGCAATCACAAATATAGATTATATATATATAGGCAATTCTGAGCAACAAGCAGAAGAATTGGAAGACATTTAGGAATTTAGCAACACAATCTGCCTTTTGCATCAACTGAGGCGTGAACTCACAACCTCTGAGACTAAGAATCAATTTCTATCTCACTGAGCTAATTAGTCAGTGACAATTCATGTGTAGCTTCGCAAACTGACTAAGCCAGACGTGCAGGTTTAGCAGCTGTCCATACAAGGAAAAGCAGATTTCAAACCACTGTAAAAAATCTGAAAATACACATATTGCATCTAGACAGCATGGAGATGTTGATAATTTGTTTGTAACAATGATTGATTTGCTCCATAAGTGAAAAACTGATGTTTAAAATTGCCATTTTTACATTGACTCCAATTGTTCACATTAGAGCAAAATTCAAAATGCTGTCAAAAATTGAGTTTTTGAGATAAAATTCTGAAATTTGCCACACATCATCTACCATGACTCTAGAGTTTTGTCTTTTTTTTCATGAACATTGAAGATTTATTTAGCAAGAATTTGCATGTATATGTTTACAGTACCGTTTACAGTCAAACATCTTGATGCACTGTCGGCTCAATTTTTGAGACATCAAAAATCTGAGAAGCATAGTTTTTGTAGGACAGTCTGAAGATGCTCTGTAGCAAGTTTGGTGTCAATTGAGCAAAAAATTGTGCGAGGAGATAGGTTTAAGAAGTTTTACAGTTTTTGAAAACAAAACAGAGTGATGAACTTCATAATTTTTAATAGGTTTAAATGTACAAAAGTTTCTTCAGTATTGGGGCTACAGTTTGATGAAAGTTGTGAAGTTGTAGCACATATGGTTGATTTGTTATTAATCTTCAGTTTTGAACTTTAGACACTTGCTGTAGCGCCACCATCAGGACTACTGGCTTGAGTTTACAGCTGAGGATATCTGGCATGAGACTGGACCTTTGCGCAAAGTTTGGTGAGTTTTCACCCATGGGAAGTAGGATTTCCTCGGAAGAAGACAGAAGAAGAAGAAGAAGAATACCTAACCACGTTTTACAGCTGAACACAAAATGATGCGTCATTTTCTGTATGCTTCATTATCTTCAGTCTTGGGTGTTCCACAGCTCCAACCCTGTTTTGGACCCAGGTTATTGCCACACAGACTTTATGTAATTAGAAACACAGAATGAAAAAAAAGAGGAATTGTGCCATAGTAAAGTATAGATTGTGTATAACAATTCAAGTCAAGGGCTAGTCAGAAACTGGAGTCTCTGGGAGCAGAAACAGAACGTAGATTACATTTGAAACATGTCATAGGTTTAAAATCATGTGTGTTAGCAGTTATAATCAGATTTGAAGTCATAAAGAATCAAGCTGATTAAACAATTCTGACTGTGTTTTTGGTGTCGATAAAGAGGGCTCGGGTCAGCATAAGTACAACATAAGGATTAAAATGAATTTTCTTTACAGACTGAAGTCAGAATGTAAATTGACTCATGGTGGGTGCTACAAATACAGCCACCAACCATTGCACATAAATTGCTACATAACCTGTCTTCCTCCAGCGAAATTTTTAGAAGACTTCAGAAGCTCCAGAATATTTGTCCGGAGCTCCTTGGCTTTCTCTGCATTCTCTCCTTTCTCCACCTGTTCTCCTGCCACTTGGAGCCCCTTCAGCACCGACTGCAGGGCATCTGCATTCTTCACCGAGTCCATCTGGTCTCTGTCTGCTCGGATCTCCTCCACCCAGTCCAGGTAGGCCTGAAGTAATCCAAGGTCTTCCACAAAGTTTGCAATAATCCGAAGTCCCGGTCGACATTGCTGCAGCTTCTTCAGCCTCCTTCTTCCCACCTCTCCGATGTCATTCCCAACAATGCTGATTAAGGAAGAAATAAACAGGTAAGAGTTTTCTTTGTGCTGTGGTGTCCAAAAGCACTACTGTTAGGGGCCCAGGGTCAAGAAGTATATATGGTCAGGGTCAAGAAGGTATTTATGGCCCAGGTCAAGGACTGGTGAAGTCCAACTAGGGTGTCTTTCTGTCGTCTGTTTTACTTTGTCTCACATTTCACAAACACAACTAATCTATATAAGCAGGGTTTTTGGGGCTGTTTTTCAGAGCAGTTCATATTGGCTTCAAACACTCTCCAGGCAATCTAGATGCTTGATTTGATGCTGTACTTCTTGTGATAAACCTTTCCTGTATACAAGCCAGTCTCCTTCATCACCTTCACATCATCGCTATTTAATAAACAACAGTGCCAAGGCCTTAGCTCACACAAGGTAGCAGTGTTTCCATACATTGTAACATTGAGATCACAAAGCACAAGTCAATGTGTGTGTCTTACGTCAGTGTCTTCAGAGAGGTGTTTTTGCTGAGGCAGTTGACAATGTTTTCTGTTCCTCTCTCTGTGATGCCAGTGATGTCCAGATAGAGTTCCTCCACAGTGGTGTTGTGCTCCAGAGCGTTCCACAGCTCCAAAACCCCCTCTGGACCCAGGTTATTGCCACACATACTGTACACACGAGAAGAAGATAAGCATTAAAACACACTGAATTTTCAGTTCCCTTAAAGAAAGGCCTTAGAATGTACTAAAAGGTCTTGAATTTTCTGTAGACGGTTGGTATAAAAAGAAGGTATAACTTTTTAAATGCGGGCTGTTGGGAGATGATACATCCAGGTCACATTAATGAGTTAATTATATTACCAGGCATTATTGTTACATACAGCTGGGAGGTACTGGCAAGTGTGATAGAAATGTAAATAAATTCACACCCGAAAATAAATGCTACTTGTAGGCCTTAGTGTCCCAGCTGTTTTTCAGTAATTCTTCTTGTTATGAAATTGCATTTTATATGGTATTAAAACTTACAAGAGCTTCTTCACTTGGCACTCATTCGATTTCAGAACTGCAGATTCTAAAATAGCTGCTTGCCTATCCAGGCAGTTGTATCTCAAACTGAAAAAAAGAAAAACATTAGGTCAGTATTATTTTTGGCAATTCATTGACCCTTTTTCAAAAGCGCTGTTATGCTCAGGCTCTTGGAGTAGGGCGGAATCAATCCCAGCATGTATTAGACAAAAGGCTCGGAGTACTAGGAGTACACCCAGGTTACCAGTCTATCACTGAGCTAACATTAAGAAAGACAAACATGCAGATACATAGAGAAGATGCACACTCTGCACAGAAAGGCAGCCAGTCAGGAAATTCAAACCCAGACTTGTTTTCATTGCCCAGTGCTCAAATGGCAGTTCTATTTAACTGATTTATATAAATTCGATACTCACTAGAGAGATTCACAGCGGTGTAGGATCGGCCCCAGTCTGTTTAGTCCTCTGTTTCCAATGTTGGAATAGCCCAAGTTGAGCTCCTGCAGCTTGTGTGGAGAGAACTGCAGCACATAGTGCATGGCTGCACAGTCCACAACACTCAGCTTCATTTTAAACAGGTTGAGTTTCTTGATTTCTGGTGCGGCCATGCTGGTGGCTTCCTTCATGTGGAACTCCATCAGGCAGTGGAGAAGATTGAGGGCAGCCTGGTTCTGGAGCTCCCTACCCTTAAACTGGTCTTGAAACCACAGACCCAGCCTGGCAGGGATGCTGTCCAGTTGCTCCATGGGGGAAAGAACAAGGCCATCCAACTGACCTGCGAGCCGAGCTCGGAGCATTCCCATAAAGAAGCGTGTGAACATCTGGAGGCTCTCTAGCTTGTCCATGTTGAGGTCTGTGTTTTGCAGGGGTGCAGCTCGGGAGGATGGTGGATGTACCCCAAAGCACCAGAAGTCCAGAGCTTGGATTATGTCCTCCTGGCTGAAGAGATTGATTGCACAGTAGAGGGCAGCCAGATGTTCTTGAACAGTCAGGTGGAAGAAAGAAAACATCTCTACTGTTTCCTCTTTGAGAGGCTGGAGGATGTGGCAGAGAAAGGTGCTCTGAAGATCAGCAGGTGTAACACCATACTTCTCCAGATCTGTTCTGTTGAACATGATCTTTTTCTGTAGAAGGTTTTCATAAGCCAGTTTTCCCAGGTTTGTCAGTTGTCGCTTTGCTAGTGAGAGAACCTCAGATCTTGGGGTGCTTCTGTCTGCACTCCCCTTCAGCGCATGGTGCTTGATTGCTGTAAACAGGTAGCAGAAGTAAACCTCGCTGACTGTTCGGGGTGGGTTTAGCTCCAGAGACTTTGAGTCAGCAACATCTTGATTTCCTGAGAAGAACTCAGCCATAGCAGTGCAGATGATGTAGCAATAAAGAGGGATGAAGGACAGCACAAAAAGGTTGTCATTGTGCAAGATGTAATCGTAGACTTTTTCAGCAACTTCTTTGTCTTTGTAGAACTTGGTGGTGTATTCCTTCACCTGGTCCTCCTCAAAGCCCAGCACCACGCAACATCTCTGGAAGAAACGCTTGGGAGCTTCAGTGGATGGTCTGGTCGTGAGGATGACTGATGCTTCTGGGAGTAGGCTTCCCTTGATCAAAGCCACCATTAGCTCTGACACTGGCACCTCCGAGTGAATGTCAATGTTTTTGTCAGGACTGTTCCAGTCCAAGGGGAATTTGAACTCATCAAATCCATCTAAGATGAAGAGCAAAGAGCTTGGTGAGGCAAAAAGATCAGGTAGAGCTGCCTTCAGGTACCGGAAACGTTCTCCGAGTAGCTCCAGTAGGCTCAGTGGTGCTTCAATCAGATTGAGCTCTCTGAAGCGCAGGTCAAAAATGCAGGTGAATTCACGCATGTTCTTTCCAATCGCCCACTCAAAGACTAGTCTCTGCACTGCTACGCTCTTTCCGATACCAGCAATACCCTTCACTTTAACCCTTTTTGGGGGCCGCCCCGACGTTCCTTGGGGTTCCAAGAGATGGCACGGCCGAATGCGCTGGCAAGCCTGATGGACATAGATGCGAGCTCGTCTGCTTGCCAGGTCAAAGTACTCATGTTGGCTGCTTTCAACTGAGTCATCATCCTCTGTCACAAAAAGGTCAGTGTAGCGGATCTCGATGTGAGAAGCTGAGTTCGAGGTCACTCCCTCACCCTCTGAGTAACACTTCAACTGCTCTGTGCGCTTCAGAAGAGTTGTTTTGTGGGCAGAAATGGGAACTACAGTGAAAGACAAGAAGATCAAATACATTGTCAACAAACTTAAATTATTCTGCAGTTTTCTAGAAAATAAACATTTTGACGAACCTTCAGTTCACCAATCATATTGACATACCTCGGATGTTGGCCAGCTTTACACTCCTGCTAGGTTTCAGTTCTTCTTTAGCTGCATAATGAAGATCATTTTACTTCATATTCAAAACGTGAACAATTTAAGTGATATGTAAGTAATATCCAAAATCAATTTTTTAAAAGATAAATAATGCATACCTTGAACCTCAGTAGCCAGGGTAAATCCCTTACTCTTTCCTTTGAACAGTTTAGCAATGGAGCCTTTAGGCTTCTTCTCTGTGTATAATACAGAATTCATATGGTTAATAACACATTTGATACATATGATATTACATGATTGCCGAGGTCCAGACCTTTGAATTCGCCCAATACACTGAGTTCCAGTTGGCTGATTTGTCTGGCATCATAACATGAAATAGCGGGTTTTCAGTAAAAATAACAAATGATCGAAATGACTACAGCAGGGGGACTAACGATACGCCAGTAAGTGCTATGGCTAGGACTAACTCCGTTGTCAAGCTGTTGTTGAGCTCAGAACCAATGAGGAGCAATAACAATGGCCAGTGCCATAGACAAGATAGTGACTGCTATCAAGGCTGTTCTAAAGCGACATGTCCCCTCAATATCGCCCGTCATTGTACATTGTATATAACTTGACTCCACTTCAACTTAAAAACTTCAGCAAAACAAAATGTGCTGGTATGATTATGCATCAGTGTGGATTTAAAATTAGGTCAGATTCAGGCGGATACGTTGGTCTCTAGTGATCGGTAAGGGACAGTTGGATCCACTTCCCTCACAGAAATCAGAGTGGACACAATGCAAAGATGGAAACGGAGTGTTATGAATGATCAGTTTCTTTGTTGCTCACTTCAGAGCACATTGAGCTGCATATATGCTCCATATTTTAAACCAATCAAAGTTCCAATGTGAGAGGCATGGCTGTTCCAAAATTGCATTTTTGGTATTAATTACAGCACCACCATGTGTTGGAGTGGAGTTATATTTCTTGGGAAGCATTTGCACATTTGAACGCCAATTACTTGGCAAGACATCACAGTTTATTGTAGCCTCTTAGTAATCTTATCACACCTGTTGTTTAGACAGTAAAACTCTAGTCCCGGTCTGCCTGTCCCCCTTTGCCCCCCTTTTCCTCTCTCTTTATTCAACATTTAACACAAACACAATGCACAAAACACAGAACATAAACACACAATATGGAGGAGCTGTTTACAATAAAATGTACATACTTGTTGTAGATAATTTTCTAAACTTAAATAAATAAATAAATAATTAATACAGTCTTCACCATCATATTTAAGCAACCCTACCTTCAACTTTTACAGGTGCAGACACTGGCTTAATGATGGTATCTTTCCTGCAGTGTCTCTCCACCCACGCCTGCAGATCTTCGCAGTAATAATCCTGCACCTCTCTCAGCACCTGCAGGAACTTTTGGCTGCTCTCCTCAGTGGCACACACCATCTCAAGAGCTTGGGCCATGGCATTGGAAGGTGACCTCTCCAGCAGAGACAGGTAGTGGGCAGGGGAAAGCACCTCAGCATCATGCAGCCAACGCAGCAACGGTGCTGGGTGGTCTAGAGTCCAGTTCAGCAGCAAGTCTCTCTGAGACCGGAGCAGTTGCTGAGCTGAGCTCATGGCTTCATAAAATACTGTCACAGGGAATAAAATAAGCACATTACAAGATGTCATGCTAATAACTTACATATAGAGAACTACAGTATAGAGAAGTGCAGTACAGTAAGGAAGTTGAACAAATACTTCCATGCTCAATGATTGAAATGCTTACCTTAAAGAAATAATTTATTGTTACGTTCTCTGTCACTTTCCCTCTCGTCTATTTCGCCATTGCAGTTGTTATGAGTGTTTGCGGGAGAGCAGTTTGTTTTCTGTCTTAAGGTGCGGGCAGACAGAGTGCAATGACTTAGGCAGCAATTTAAACAACCATTCAAAGGGTCCAGAGTTCAAAGTGTTCAAGTCTTTGTCCCTGCCTCTGATTCATCGTTGTTGTTTGATCTTGCAGAAACATGCCAATCCCCTAAAGTGACCTGGGAGTAACACACAGTGTGGAAAAATATCAAACTGTTCAACTCTTCAAATCCAATATAATGCTGAAAAATGAACATTTTTGCATATTAAAACATATTTTTGTGTAATAAACAGATTGACCAGCAGTCTGAACAGTTAAAATACAAAAGTTGTTGCTTGACACGTTTCACATTTTGCCTCCAACTTTGTTTATAACTTCGCTGACCTACTTATATTGACTGATATTTATTGTTAACATGACAATCATAAATCCCCATCTGGCAAAACAGTTAATCATTAATCAGTTTTATTTGACTTTCTATTGATCTTTATTGCTATCACTTTTATCACACTTTGAGATATGGTTAGAACAGTCGATGTAGACAGAGGGAATCAGAAATTAACACATGTAGCTGTTGGAGCCTTTGAGGAAATGGCCAACAGCATGAGAGTGACTCACCCATTGTCATGTGTTGTCTCACACAGACTTGCTGAGGTCTCTCTTTCCAAACAATTCCTGCTTCCAGCAACTAAATCTGTATTTAAATCTTTTGACATGATTAAATAAGTGTGAAGTCTTAACTCTACCATTGCTGATTGTAAAATTAGTTCAGTGGTTTGTAATGAATGAATGAATGAATGTAGTAAGCATAAATGATATTGAAGATATTGAAAGAGTAAGAGGGGCCATCAAAGTGAAGTCATAGTATCAGGAGCACAATGAAACACTCCAACTTCCCCCTCTTTGCTCCTTTGTTCATCCTTCCCTCTGTCTGTGCTGGCACAGCAGGGTTGCAGTCATGCATGTGGACACTGTCTTTCTTGTGTGTCCTCTGATTTTTGGTGAGTAATTTAATCATATATTATTTTCTCTAAGAAATGCATGAGCTTTGAATTAATGTATGAATTTAATTCATACCGTGTTGTTGACCTCATTAAATTATCTCTGTCATTAACATAATTATTACTCCAAGTGATGGAGAAACCGTTAATTTTTCTGTCTGTGAATATGTCCTGCAGAATATACCGTAGCGCATGATTACATTATATTCACAGATGAGGATCGTTTCTGTCATTTAATAGTTAAATGCTAATTTCTCTTCTCTTCTTCTGAAGTTGATGATAATATGAAAATGTATATGCAAATAATTCCTGAAATAATCAAGATAATATGGATTTTTAAGTAGTTACTTCGCAATTTCCCACCGAGTATAATACTTGAGCGCAATACATTTTCCAGAGCCACAAGTGCTGTTGCTCTCTTCCTTTTTCTAAATATACATCTGTTGCGAAATTGTTCTAGGTCATAACATGCATTTGTAGACAGTGCAGCTAAATACAGCAGCTCTAACCTCGTGTTAGTTCAAGTTTATTCTTTATGATGACCTTTCGAGAAGATCTCATGGGAATTAAATCAGTTAGGATTGTGAGTGTTGTAGTTTGGATTAGAAACGTTTTAATTGGCCATGTACTATGGGAACTGTCTTTAGCTTCTCAGTGGTCAAGTTTAAAGTAAAACTCAAGCACACAAGACATGAACATCACAACACAGCTGACTGGCTGCTGTCCCCCGGGATTTAATCTTGAACCTGGCATAGTTACATCAGACCCTGTGTGTTGTTAAATTATTCTGCTCTCTATCACAGCAGCCACACTGTGGAGGAGAGTCCAGGCTGTCTCTCCTGTGCCCTCAGTCCCTGACCGTGTCCAAGCACTGGTGGGCTCCTGTGTGGTGATCCCCTGCTCCTTCACTCCTCTAGCTCCTCACCCTCCCAGGGGGAGGAAGGAGAGGGTGGATGTCCGGCTGAGGTTCAGAGGTGGCGGTCACTTGTTCCCTCTTCGCAGCACCGCTTTTAACAGCGAGGACAGAGATCAAGTGAGCCGGGATTTCCAAGGCCGGACGTCGCTCTTTGGGCGAGTCGCAGATGGAGACTGCTCGGTGAAGATCGAAAGGATCAGCCAGGATGACTCACGGGTGTTTGAGATCGCTCTGAAGAGAGGTGACAGCTTACTGTGGGGGAAGCCAAGGAGCTTCAATCTGGATATTGTGGGTGAGTGGGGGAGTCACTGTACTGGCTCTTTCTTCTCTTATAAAAGTACTTGACTGGTGGATATTTAACAACCAAAAAATGTCTGTGTATCCAGAGCAAAGAAAATATATTATAGTGTAGGAACAGAAATCCAGTATATTCATGCAAACACACAGTACAGAACTCTGACAATTGAGTTACATAGTGAGCTCACAATGCACAGTATGTTAATTTTGTGTAGACCTGCCAGGACTGTGAGAGGTGAGCTTACTGGACAGACTGCCCAACAATGCAGTTTTTGAGCCAGGCAAAAAGCTATTTATCTGTCAAATGATTGATTTTTAACATTTTTCAGGTGAGAAAGTAACTATAGACTCCCAGTATGTGTCACTTTATCCAATTAATGCCTGTTTAGAAATTCACTGTAACGTTTTCAGAGGTGTGAGAGCTGCTGGCTGGATCAGATCGGCTGTCACGACTGTCTTGCTTGAGTATTCAGTCAGTTGGTAATGGCATACTAATCTTTCTTTTAGTGGGCCGTAAATACATGTGGCTGATGGGTTAAATAGTTCCTATACCTACATGAAAATGAATGTCTGGGGACAGAAATACCACAATAATGGCCTTGCTGTTTTTTAGAATTATTTTTTTGTCTCTAAGAAAGTACACATCAGTATTAAAACACTGTAATGATGGAGCATTTCCTCACTGACAGACACCCCTGAGGCTCCCGTCATCAGCGGCATGTTGTCTGCCACAGAGGGACAGCTGGTCACCCTGAACTGCTCCGTCAGCTATCACTGCCCCTCCAGACCTCCGGCCCTACAGTGGAGCTGGGAGAGAGGAGCCCAGCTGAACAGCACGGAGCCTGGGGAGGTACAGACACTTCACCCAGAGCCCCACAGGCCGATGTTACTGGCCTCTCTGTCCTTCACTGTGTCACATCAGGTGAAACCCCGGCTCAAATGTGAAGTCAGCTACCCAGGGGCCAAAGCGTTGGCCATTTCAAAGGATCTGCATGTGACATGTAAGCATAGTTTTAACTATTATCTTTGTGTCTCCTGACTCATTAACACGCTAACCTTGCTTTTTTTCTATGCTTTATAGTCTCACCAAAAGATGTAAAGGTTCAGGTCCAGTCCTTGATAGTGCAGGAGGGGGGCAGCGCCTTGTTGGTCTGCTCGTGTAAAGCTGACCCACCGGTGTCTGAGTATCGCTGGTCCTACAGCCAGCACGGCCGTACAGTGCACCTCGACCAGCGCACACACACAGTCCGGGTGCACAACGTGACACGAGACATGAGGGTCCGCTGCTCAGCAAAGAACCTGATCGGTCGAGGAGAGTCCCGGCCCACGCCGCTAAACATACAATGTAATCCTACTTCCTGTAGGCCTACCTCTGATGACCATGCACACATATATTAGGATTATTTCACAAGAAGCTTAACCTATATATGTTTGGTTTACAAGGCTGTCAAAGAGTAACTGTAACAACAGGTAGTTTGTTACACCTCTAACTGGACGGTTGTGGTCATAGTTGTTCTGATGACGTTTAAATGTGCCCCTTCTCTCCTACAGATAAACCAGCCATCCTCCGGCTCTCCTCCACCTGTGTTGTGGACGATTCAGAGTTGCTGTGTCGCTGTTCGGTCGACTCCAACCCCAAACCAGCAGTCACCTGGAGCGTGAATGATACCGTTCCACCTGGCAATTACAACGTTTCCGTAACATCTGAGCGCAACACGCTAACAGCCACACTGAAGGGCCACATGGACAAACCTCAGACTGTGATCTGCTTTGCTTTCAATGCGCTAGGAAATGACTCGCTGATGTTGCTGCAGGGAGGAGAAGGTTTGTTCAAAGCAATGTTCTCCCACACTTACAGGGACAACAGCTCTGCCTCTTGTTTATTCGCTCTGATGTAGGGGTGGTGGTGCTCAAACATCTGTGCAACGTGCCTGCAGCTCGGAAGCATAAGTAGATGGGAAGAAAGTGAATACCTCAAAGAAAACCATATGTTGTTGTACCATTATTGAGCCTTCCTGTTGCTGCAGTCCATTTTATATGTCTTTATACTGCAGTGCTCAGTCTGTTGCAATTTAAAAGCTTACTTATGGTGGAATATCTAAGTGAAGTCGTTACATCAAGCTTGAACGAGCAATATGTCTGAAAGGCCTAGAGTTAAAATATAATCCATGTTGTTCCACCCATGGTGACCAGAGAAAACTCTAATTAATATATTATTGTTTCACATCATATTCTGATCCATCTCTTTCTGTCCATAAACAGAGACAGCACCTTTGTTGTGGATGTTGATACCCGCTGCGTCCATCTGCCTGCTCATATTCCTTCTGTCTCTTTGTTTCTACTGCTGCCGAAAGAGAGCCGGAAAGTATGTGAGGCAAATCTGCCCTTTAAATGTTTACTTAACTTTGTCACACTTGCACAATTTGAGGTTTCACGTACCTGTTCTGCCTCTCACAGAAATGTCCTGAGTCGACGCCCAGCCATGTACCCTGGAGGACTGGGAATTTACCAGGACCGAATGCCCCTCTATATAAACTGCACAGAAGTGACTCATATCTACACCAACGGCAGCTACCAACTTGTATACCAGAACTGCACACCTCTTTTTGTCCACACTAAGCAGGTATTTGATTAATGTTATCTTTAAAGCAGTTGTTAAAGTGTGTTCCTCTGCCTCCTTGTAGTCCCTCTAATGGCATTTAGTAGAATCTACTGCACATGACTGAAAACAACCAATCAGAGTCGAGGTGTCTTTCATGCAGCTGTCAGTCATGTCAGTCACTGCTCGTTAACTGCGGTTAAACTGTCAAACTAGGCAGCGCTGTTCATTTCTGAATCAAGATTCTGTTGTCAAAGGCTTTCAAAAACATATTTTAGTGTACTGTTTAGCTGTAAAATGAGAATGTTTGTGACTCAGTTGAGCCAAAACCAAGCACCGCCCACCAGCCAAACTTCCTCATTTTACAGCTAAACAGTACACTAACATACATTTTTGAAAACACCTGAGGTGAGAAATAGGCAGTGCAGTAACAGAATCTTGATTCATCATTGATAAGCACTGCCTAGTATGATAGTTTGACTGCAGTTCAAGAGCAGTGATGGATATGATTGACAGTTGCATTGAAGACGCCTTGGCTCTGATTGGTTGTTTTCATCCAACTGTGGTATTTTCTAGAGAATGCCATTAGAAGCACTATGAGGAGGCAGAGGAACATGATTTTTTTTCACAGATTAACTATCTTACGTACTACTGTCAGGATACTGTGATAGTTTCAGCAAACATGACAAAGGTTTTATCTATAGAGGGTTAACAACCACAGATTTGCGTGAAGGTTATGTTCTTCGTAATCTTACTAGATAATGGCGAATTCCACGTTTTTCTCCTCACTGACTTGGTCAATCCATGTGAAATTTGGCACAGTGGTAGAGGGTCATGGGAGGATGCGAATGAAGCAATATTACATCAGTTGGCCAAAGGGAGGCGCTATAGCAACAGATTGAAATTGCAAACTTTGAATGGGCATATCTCATGCTCCGTATGTCGTAGAGACATGAAACTTTGCACAGAGATGCCTCTCCTCACGAGGAACAAATTTACCTCAAGAACCCATAACTTCCGGTTATACAGATTTTCCGCCATTTTGAATTTTTTGAAAAACACTTAAAATCGATCTCTTCCTAGGAAGTTTGACCGATCTGCATGAAACTCAGTGAACAATATCTAAAGTTCCCTCTTGGCAAAAGTTGGAAAACTTACTAAAACTGAGCTTCTATAAGGCAATGAATATTGCAGAGGACGTGGCTCATCACATAAAGGTGTATAACATCTCAAGGGTTTCACCGATCACCACACAACTTTATAGACATATGACCACACATGATCTGAAGGGACCTCTCCATTATTGACCCCATCAAACAAAATGGGGGCGCTAGAGAGCTAATTTCTTATCTAGGCCTAGCCACCATATCGATATTTACTAAACTTGGTAGATATGTAGAACAGGACGCCTCAAGGTGACTGGGAAAATGTAACTCTAATTGGCAACTGGGTGGCGCTATAACAACAGAAAAAGGCTTAAACATGGCTAAAGTGCGACCGATCGCTGTGGCTCCCCCTGTGGCCGAATGCTGTTTGGTTTTTTTTTCTAATTTTTGGTATGACTAAGTCATGGTATGGTATGCTGTACATAATCACGGAAACTGTCAGTGTGTCATTCTGTCAGTCAGTCATTCTGTCTGTCCCATGTTTTTCTACTCACTGATGTGGTCAGTCTATGTGAAACTGCACATAGGCATTGAGGATTGGCATAGGTAGAAGGTGACAAAGCTACCAGTGGGTATGGACTAGTCTCTATAAACAGACATCTGCATATGAATGCAAAATCTGTAGGCAATGGAAGAGACAGAACACATCAGCTGAAATGCAATCTCAAAAGCCATCAACTATGGTCTGACGATGATTTAGCATATATTAGCTTTTTAAGCTTTTAGCTTTTTATCTCTTTAGAGATTAGCCGCAATGACCAGCATATGGATGAGGAAGTCTTGGCCCAGATATCTACTGGCTACACCAGATCTCCTAAAGTATTGGCTGTCACCCTCAGAGGCTTACAGTTGTCAGGCTGATAGCCGATGGGTTCTGATATTCTGTTATCAGCAACAGCGGGCATTGCATACATCTGTTCCTTTTTTCAGATGCGTCCGATGGCCCGAAGAGGAGGAGAGAGAAGAAGAGGAGGAGAAGTTGGAGGAACAGACAGACGAGTGGGTCTGGGGGTGAGAGGCACAAGAGAGGTGCAGGGCACTGCTGCGGCTGATGCAGAGACAGCCATCTACTTGGAGATCCTCTGAGCTCACTGTGAGAGTGACATGATTCACCTGCTACATTAAACTCACATTAGACTTCAGATTCAATCTCACACTGGCGGTAATACATAGCTTATGTAACATTCAGTTATTTGTATATATTGTTAATCCATATTGAACTCTTTGAGTGTTTGCCTGTGACGTGCCTGTGTGCTGTTCTTTGTTTTTTATGAAATATGAAACGGATTGATAAGAGTTTTTTATTATTATCATTTCATCCTGTGTCTATTCTACACACACACGAGCACACATAAGCACTCAGATTTGATTTGGTCTTACCACCAACTGCTCCAATTGCATTTGTAACGGCAGCTGCAGCATGGTTAACACAAAGTGATCCTCAGGTGGTGATTTAAATTTCAATTAAATGTATCTGTTACATGGAATCATACAAGGTACAACCCCAGTGAAATGTAACCCCATCAGCTCCTTCAACTTGTGCATGGCAGTGTAGTATGCAGCTCAACCTATAATGCAGTTTGTAATATTTATTACACAAGTGAGGAAGTGTGTCAATGTGCTCATGAGAGAACAGAAGTGTTGTTGCAGGAAGAGCTCGGGTGCAGTTGATAACACTAATACTTTCTTTGTTCTACTAAGCATCCCAGTTAGTTTTGCCAGTGAAGCCATTCTGTGGCCAACTTTTCATTAGTTTTTCACACCATTCACACAAAAGCATGAGCACTGTGTTTATAGAACTGCCATTTACTGTAACTGCAAAGTACAAAAAACATTGCAACATTTACAACAAAGACAACAAAAGAAGAAATACAGGAGAATTCACCCACAAAGTCCTGTCCAACCATTCATCCATCCATCAAAAAACACACTATTATCAATACATAATTCATGCCACGCTCAAATGGAACTCGTCAGCTCATGTTAATGACATTAAAAGTTGTGAACATGAATGTGTGAACTCTGAGCTCTCAGAAACTTTCCACTTGCAAGGTTGTGATTACGCAACATCCACTTTACATATAGAATCTAACTTTTTAGCAGATGTCTTTTGGTGTTTAGAGCGTTAAATAACATTTGACTGGAAAGTAGACTTTTGGCTGAAGTCCTTTTTGTTGCAAATATACCACATCAGTGCACATAAAGCACATGTATGTAAACTATAATTTCTACACATGTAGATGTACTTTTCCTAATTGCTTTGTTTTTATCCTTTCTTTGTCTTTATCTTATTTGGTCTGGCAATATCCCCCTAGGGATCAACAATGTTATCTGATTTCTAGAACTGGAAGACTAGGAAACAAGGATGCCTGTTGTTTTTTGTTTTTTTTTTTCTTTTTTTTCTTACAGTTGCAGTTAAATCAGGAATGCCAGAACCTGAGCTGTTATTAATGAAAACTGCATCTGTGATTTTCCTATTGTGAGATTTCAAAATGTGTGCCATGAAAAAAAGGTTTATGAAAAGGTTTCTTGGTAACAAAAGAAGAGATGAGTGTCCACAACAAGGTAAATGTCATATTGTATATATTATATAAAAATAAAGTATATGTTTTTTAGAGGAAAGGAAGAAAAAAGTACATACAATACTTAGAGTTTATAATTAAATGTATGTGTTTGATTTGATCTGTGCATATTCTGAACGATTGGTGGCGATAAAGCTGATGATGCCATTTAAACTGCAGAAGAAGAAGTAGAACGCTCCCATTGGATGAAAAATGCCATTAGGCGGAAGTTGCGTCACAACACAACAGCCATCGGACTTTTGGTGGGAATATGAGTTCGCTTCCACGCACCTTTAACTTAAAATTAAAAGCATTTCTATATGTTTGCTGATATTTAACGTAATGCCAAAGTTAGCGGCTATGTGTCACGCACATAACAGTTTCAAAGGTTCGTGCTAACAGCACTTAGTGTGTGTTTAAATCATCAGGCTAATCAGGAAAAGTTCACTCTATTGTTTGCTAGCATGCTATCACGTTAGCAAGCACAGTAGCTGATTTACAGCAAGGCGCATTTACTGAAGTCTTCGAGGCTTAATTTAACGCCACTGAAAGGACAATTTGTGTGTTTTATATTTGTTGTTAACTGATTGAGACAGCGCTTAGGTTTTCCCCTTCATACTGGATAATTAATTTACCCTCAACCTGTCAAGATTCAACAACATGCCAGAAATCAAACTCAAACACGTCGTTTCTTGCAGCACCGAGGACAATGTAAGTTCACTTCTCACTTACATTGAACCGTAACAATGTTCCCGTTTGTCCCTTGACACAAAGTTTGTAGATATATGCTTTTTATTTAGCCAAATGCGAGCCTCACTTCCACTCACCTCTTGTCCTAATGCACAACAGACTCACAAGGCAGACAACCTGCTGAGCTCTGAAACCTACAGGAAGTGGAAAGCAGCAAGAGCTGGGGAGAAGCAGACATCAGTCATTCTGCAGGTATGTTTTTGACCCCCTGTGTAACTTACTCCCACATGTGTCACCCAGCAGCGGTTACATAACATGTTGTTCTGTCATTATTGATGTGAAATTTACTTACGTCATGAAGTAGACTTCTATAACCTGGTGATAAAGTTCATTTGAACCAGATCAAACACTGCTGCTCAGATCTAACTTGCTGAGTATCACAGAAGTTTTTATCTAAATACGAGATCTTTTTTTATGTCCCAAATTCACTTACCCTTCCTTACCTGGCTGTTTATCCACGAAAGGAAAGCTTTTAATCCAACTTGGTATTTGCTATTGTCATGTAATAATGGTTGGGCACTCACTTTTGTTATCTATAACTTCTGAAATGTGAAGCTGTTTCCAAACATTACATTTATTTAATTGACACTTTTAGCCAAAGCAGCTTTCAAAAATATATTCAACCATGTGGATGCAACAGTAAAATTGCAAAAATCATGCAAGAACATTAACTTCATCAAGTGCTATAATTAGAGACAAGAAGAGATAAAGTTTTTTCCCATTCCTTTTTAAATTTTGTTTTATTTTGTGAGGCAAGATGCCACCTGAACAGATGAGTTTCCAGTCTGCAACAGAACCTGTGTTGAACATTTCACCGATTGAAAATGTTGACTTCTACTCCCACGTCTCCTTTGTTGATGTATTTGTGCCATTGTGGGATTCCCCTTGTCTGCATTGTCTTACAGACACTCTTGCAGGGCAGTGGTTCCCATCTGTCGAACCACAGGGTCTAGATTTCTCCCTAGTAATTAGTTCAAGGTCAACTCAGTACACACGTTTGGCCACGTCATCGAACTAGTTTGCTGTCTCTGTTAAGTAGCTGTCTGTTAGTCACTCACTCTACAGCAGGAAACGGCACTTCAAAGTAAAAACTCTGTCTCAGAAATTTCCTGCATTTCAAAATAAAGTGTTTTTTGACAAACTTAACACTTGCGATCCATTCAGAATGGACCCCTTTTAGACTTCAACCCACCAATTGGGAACCACTGGTTTAGGGATTAGGCAGAAGCAAACTTCCTGTCTTATTTAGAATGCTGCTTGTAAAGTGTGGAAGACAAGAACATACTGTGCTCATCTTTGTCTAGATTACAGGATTTACAGAATATGTTAAAGGCACTTGAGGCACACTGAAATTTTCATTAGGAGAGTGTATATTATTGCAAATTACTGTATCAGTAGGGGACAGTCTGTGTCCAAAAAGGTATACATGTATTTTCTTGGCATAAATGTGTTAAACGTAGGACAAGTAAAAGACTTTGTCTTCTTAAATCCATTCTTTTAGCTCTTTCAGCTTTGTTTATTGTGTAAGCTCTGTTGACATGTACTGTTTCACTTTCCTCTCAGTTCGAGAAGGAGGAGCAGGTGCACAGCATTGATATTGGAAATGAAGGGTCGGCTTTCATCGAGGTGCTGGTGGGGAACTCTTCAGCTGTCAGAGACCAGGATTATGAGGTATTATCTCAAACCCAACCAAGTACAAAGCATATCACGTCCTTATCATTGGAATTACTCCACATTTTTTGTCCAAATTCTTTGATGTCAATCTTTCACTCTTTTAGGTTCTTTTGGTTATGTCTTCCTTCATGTCCCCCACGGAGAGCCGAAATGGCACCAACATGAACCGGGTGCGATTCTTTGGGCCCAACCAGCTGCAGAAGAGCACAGCACAGGAGAAGTGGGACAGAGTGAAAATTGTGTGTAGCCAGCCATACAGCAAGGTAAGGCCCAGACGTTTAAAATAACAGAGTGCAAACTAAGATTACCATCTGACTCTTAAATGTAAAACATTTGCATTTTCCGAATTTAACAAAAAATACAGATCATTGCTTTACAAACACAGCACAGTAAGGGTCTTCTTGTACTGAAGCTGCTTGGCTGCACCTGTTGATGTTGTGTGTTGAAGTCCTGTGAACTGTTGAATTAAAGTTTACTTGTGTGAAGAAAGGTGTGTACTAATACGCATGTATCTGCTGCCACTTGTGAAATAAAATCTAAGATGACTTTGTGGGTGTGTTTTGCAGAACATAGCATACGGACTGGCCTTTGTTAAGTTTCATTCACCGCCTGACAAAAATGATCCTCCTCCGACAAACTCCCCGGTAAGTCATGCCACATCTTGTTCTCAAAACTCCAGGGTACAGATGTCTCTTCTCTTTTAATATTGTCACTGAGACCTGAGAGCAGTGTTGACAAAGGCTGTGTATTAGAAACTGCTGACAGGACTCCTGAGTTTCAGTGCTTACACCAAAACAATGCTTCTTCAGTGTCTCACTTTAAAAAAAACATTTTTCTACAAAACATTTCTTTTATTTCACAAAGGAAAAGAAACCTCTGAAATGATAAAAGTTGTCACAGCACAAGAAGTCATACGGGAACGTTGCCTAAATGAAATAGTCAGGAATTGGCAAAGTTATTATCTGTATAAGAAAACTGTCTGATAAAAAAGCCACATGACGAGGTGCTGAGCACTGCAGAGGGCTGCAAATAGGTTCAACTTCCATCAAAACACTGCGCTCGTCACTGTCACTTTTTACCCAGCCATCCAGTCACAGTGGAGACAAATACCAAAAAGACTCATGTACAAGGACAAAATAATATTGAACCTACCTGGGCCTACTGACCGGCAGATCCGTCCTCTTCTCCTGCACACTCTTACCTACCCTACATCCACTCTTATCATGTGTCGACATTTTCACTTTCGCAGATATTCTGTATCATAGCAACCAAAGTGTCTCAGCTGAAAAGCACTTAAGAGCTGGCAGCTGGACACTTTCAGAAGAGTGCCTGGTGTTTCAGCTGAAAAAAAAAAAGGTTTGAAACACAGCCTTATGTTAAAGGATAACTTCGGTATTTTTAAACCTGGGCCCTATTTCCCCATGTGTATGTGTGCGTATGATTCATAGGTACAACTCGTTTTAAAATTGGTTCAGTATTGAGGGAGGCGGATACAGCCGGCAGCCGCAAGGTAGATATGGTGGCAAATGCGTCCCGTATAAGTTTGCGCATTAAAAGTGCTTTTTTTCGCCATTGACCGGTTCAGATCGCCAGTGCTATCTCTGTAAATAACATACTAAGCGTTTCCCTGACCCTTCACTTCCTCCCGGCTGTGACGTCATCTCAGCTTTGCTTGTTGCCGGAAGAAAACGGTACGGTATATACGAGGGCAAAGTATGCAACAGTAAATGTGCGTCTCGGAGACAATTCTAGGTATCAGTATTACATGCATAAAGACATATTAGTTATACTTACTTGATTGGCCATCGTAATAAAAGGGCTCATCCTCATTCTCGAAATCGGGTAAATATGCAGCCATGATACTGATGCAGTAAAACTCTCGACTGTACTCTGGGACAACCAGCGCCCCTCTGAGCGGCGCTCAGCATGACTCCTCTGCTTTCTTCCGGCAACAGGCAAAGCTCTTGCGTGATGACATAACAGCCGGGAGGAGGTGAAGGGTCAGGGAAACGCTTAGTATGCTATTTACAGAGATAGCACTGGCGATCTGAACCGGTCAGTGGCCAAAAAAGCACTTTTAATGCGCGAACTTATACGGAACGCATTTGCCCCCATATCTACCTCGCGGCTGCCGGCTGCATCCGCCTCCCTCAATACTGAACCAATTTTCAATTTCAAAACGAGTTGTACCTATGAATCATACGCACACATACACATGGGGAAATAGGACCCAGGTTGAAAAATACCGAAGTTATCCTTTAATAACACCAGAGGTTGTCAGACCAATGAGAATTTGTTCAGACGAAAGTATATCGACCAACCGATTGTCCAACTGACCAGATGGTGTCAGCCCCAGAAACCACACACATGAGAGAGACCAGCACTGAACAAATGAGCTATCTTGTAAGTGTTGGCGTGAGATTCAATGTCATCAGAGGACAGTCTTTATAAGCATGTAAATCTAGAGTGAAATGTGCGACCGCACTGTTATCAGCAGTGCTTTAGTTCAGCATGAACATGATGTAGTATAATACATCTTGCTTTTATTGATGCTCTGGTCGGAGTCCAGCACTAAGACGTGGCGCAGTATCTCACTGCAGTGTGTAAAGCATCTAAAGCATCTAACTTATCCTGTGAACCACATAACTTCATGAACTAATGAAATCATTTGTCAAGTTGAAACCTGTTTGCTATATCAAGAGAAAATACACTCCAGTCACTGCCTCCACTTTCTCTTTTGGCGCTAAACTTCCTTCTCTCCCGTCAGAAACTGACGAAGCTGGGGCAGTTCAGGGTGAAGGATGAGTCCTCTACCCCTGGTCCCAGCCTTCAGCCAGGCAGTCTCTTCTTCAATCGCGACAATGCGGCAAAGTCCAGCACTTCACTTAAAGGTAAATCCGCTCATTTAAATTAACCACCTGCTGAAGCCCAATTAAACTCTTTCATGTCCTTGTAACAGTAAAGTGCTAATCAGGTTGAATAATTAAAAAAATGTCAAGAGAGCGCTCATTAGGCTTAATTTAAAGCTTTTTAAGTGTTCCAGGAGACAAAAGGGAGGAGATGTTTCAAAGGCATTCTTTATTATCAGGCTACTTTTTATCTCACAAGCACTTCTCTGTCTTTAGTGTCTCCTCAGAGTGAGAAGTTGAGTTACGCCGCTGCTGCCCTGCAGGCTGGTGGCAGCTCGTCCCACTCGTCAGGTCAAGCTTCCTCCTCCAGCTCTGCCTCACCACAGGTACTAAACATCACCATCATTTCCTCCACTGAAGGACAGCCAGCAAACAGCGATTCCCTTAACATTCCCTTTTTTTGCTTTATTTAGACAACAGGAAAGCTGAGAGGTACACAGCAGAGTTATTGAGAGTTTTAACAACCACATCATTTCTGGGAAAGTTAATTTGATTTAAAACCACATGGGGTCTGAAAAACAAGCTTTTGGCCTAATAACTAAAGTGAATTTAAACCAGAAAAGAAAGAAGAATTAAAGATGTTTTGTTTTTGTTTTGTCTTTCTTTAATCAGCATCATAGTTTCTGACATCAGCTTTGTCTTAATCAAATTCAGCTTTCAAGTAATCGTCTCTATGAGTACAGGAATAACTCAAGCACAGGTGAACAAATATCTGACATATTGAACAGCTGTTTTGCCCATAATGGTCTGCATTTTAATGATACATAATGTATGTGCTTCTGTGTTTTTCACATAGTAATAGAATAACAATAAAACAGACATTCTCATTCAAATCAACGTAGCAGGATGGTCAGAGTGCTGGCGATTTTTATGTGTAACTTTCATATGTACAAACTGACTTGTAGGCACAAAGGCACAAACTTGCTGCGATGAGGTTTTGCGATAACGACCAAACCAGCATTGGAGTAGTACTTTCCAAATACGTGAGCTGTTACTTTAAAAATATCACCATTACTGTTATTTCCTTGTTTCATCTGTTGCGCTTAAATGCATGTTTGTTGAAACATGATGTAGCGTGACTGTAGCTGCCTCCAAAGAACGAGTGAGAGTTGCTGCTCAGTGGACAGCTGAGAGGATATGAGAGACTGTGAGGATACACATACACATTTTAGATATATTGAATTACAGGTTTTTGTAGGGCTGGGTGATATAGCGACTATGTATGATATATCGATAAATTTCAATCAAGTTGCGTTACAGATTGCATACCAGTGTTCATCTCTCCTCTCTCACACTCCCCGCACAGCTCCGCCCCACTCACTCACTGACAAGTTCTCCAGCAACCCTAAGAGACACAGAGCTGCTCTTCTGTTTAATCTGTCTGTTATTTAGTCTACAGTGTGACATTGGTTTGTATGTTGCACGAGCTATGCCAAATCAGTCTGTGAGGTGAATGAAATTATCGCTGTAGCATAAGTGCAATCCGGCATCGTTGTTCTTCTTGGTAATTGTAGTCTATTTTGTGACATGGAGACAGCACCTGGATGCAGGCGACAGGTGTCTTTATAAAAAAAAAAAAAAAGCAGCCACAACACAGTCGTTTCATATACGAGACGTATATAACGAAGACAAAATGTCTCTCGCGACTTCCCTCGCTTGATGTTGATGTTCTGTGCATAAAAAAGATTAATAACCTAAATAAATAAAAAGATTTAAATCATTTTCCAGCACTACATCCATCTGAAAGACCATGGAAAACAACTTTTTAATCCCCTCCACAAAGATTTTTAATTGTTTCAAACTACAATGGATTAATGCCTACTTGATACTTTTATACTCATGTTATAGTTCCTGTGCTGCAAACCTTTAAACCTCTGTAGCTCCAGTACTGTGTGCAAAAACGTTAATGTACAGCCCAGCTATTTATTACCTCCGCCAAGGAGGTTATGTTTTCACCGGCGTTGGTCTGTTTGATGAAATTTTCAGGAAAGGTGGATAATGGGACAAGGAACAGATGATAAAATTTGGGTGGCCTCAGCAACAATTCCAATTTCTAAAGATGGTGAAAATAGCACCATCTGGTGGCCGGAAAGCACGTTTTGTTCTACTTGCTAAATATTGTTGTAATTCTAAAGTTTAAATTAATGTTCTGTGTTGGAAAAAAATAAAGTGAAAAATACAAAAAAAAAAACATATTATATTCTGTGTTGGTACAAAATTAAAACGAAATAAATACACCTCAGTGTCTCCATGGTGAAGGCATATATAACATAATAATGATAGTGATGCAAATAACCTAATTGTGATGCAGGCTGCAAAATTTGATGCAGAGGGGGAGGGAATATCACCTACTTGGAGGAGGTCTGCACTCACTGAGTGCTTTTCTAGCTTTGTATAGTTTTTCTTTTCCACGTTGTTCAGCTGCATATTTTTAAAACAGGAAAAAAAAATCCTTGTCTGTGCATTTTGTTTTAATCACAGTCTGTTTTTTATAAAAGTGCTTGTGACATCTCAAATGTGGCTTTGACCTGCAACTGAAAACATGTAGCCCATTTTGTAGAAAATACCGAGATATATATCGTGTATCACCATTCAGCCTGTAAATACTGAGATATGATTTTTGTCCATATCACCCAGCCCTAGTTTCTTGTGACCAAACTAGAGTTGGTGATTGTTGGAACCGTGGACAAAGTAACATGACTAACAAGACTAACTAAGATCCATTTGTTGATTTTTATTTTGTTTCTGTCTAAATTTGGATACAGTGTGTTATACAATGTGTTACCAAGCTAACATTAGTCTTAGTTGGGTGAAAGAGAGAAACTTGGATTGATGTCTGTTGCATTTTTCTGTTAAATAAGAAAAAGAGATGCAAGAGTAGTGTGACACAGTTGTATCTATCTCACTACGTCACCACAAACTAAAAGTCCTAGAATGTGTATGAAAAACGTATTAATACATAACAGTATTTGAAAAAATAACAAGCATTGTGCGTCAGATTCTTTAATCTTACAGCAGATAGCTCACATTGTATTTGCAAATTCTGCTCATTACATTCTGTTTCTCTTGTTGGTAAAATCCAATTTATTGAATGAATTTGTTAACGTGTGCAGCAGCTTAAAGTGAAGCTTTTATCGACTTAAAAAATCCCAGCTTGAAGTAATGCATCACCTGGCTCCATTATGCATCACTGTACTCTTCCCACTCAGAGGGTGAAAAGAGGATGATGAGGGAGTGACACTCTGTCAATATCAGCTACAGGTCACTTTGACTTTTGAAAAGGAAAAATTAAATACAGACAGATTGAGAGCTGCACAAGTGTGTGTCTCTGCATCAGAAAGTAGTCTAAAAATGATATGTGAGTAACTGCAGAACCTTTGTTTTTACATCTTGAAGGGAAGTTTTATTTCAAATGCTCAACCCTGACAATAGAAAAAATTGTCTGCTACACTTGTGTAAGGTTTATTAAATGTACAGTTTTTGTCTGATGACCTTGTTCTGGTGGCAAGTGGAAGTGTGGACAGTTTGTGGGAGTCTACTTTATTCCACCCATCATCCACCAGTTTTTTCTTACACATCTCTCTTAAACAGGCATGTGCACATTATTTTTCCATTCTAAAAGCTTCCATTTGTTTACTGACCTACATCCATTGTGTCATCGTAGCCACCAGCCAAAAGAAAATTTGAGTTCAGCAAAGAGCGGCAGTCTGCCTCCGGCCCTCCGCCCTCCAAGAAAATAAGCCCAGCTGGCTCGCCTGAGGGCAAAGCTGTGACCCCCAAACACAAGCCGAGCCCAGCCGGCACGCCGAGCCCCAGCACAGCAAAAGGTATCACATACATCAGTGTCTGAATTTTAGCATACAGATGATTTCTTCACCTGGAAAACTTCCTTGACTTTTGCTATTATCTCCTCAGTTTCCCCAGCACAGAGGCCACCTGACAAGAAGCGGGAGAGCCTGTCCAAACCTGAACCCAAACCCAAACCCAAGCAGCAGAAAGCAAGCACGCAGCAGGTCCCATTCCAGCGGATGATGGAGGGGGTGGTGTTTGTCCTCAGCGGCTTCCAAAACCCCTTCAGAGGGGAGCTGAGGGAAAAGGCTCTGGACATGGGAGCTAAATACCGACCTGACTGGACGCCCGACTCCACACATCTCATGTGAGTATCAGGCAGGGGGCGTGGGAGTGTTAGGAAAGCTGAAACACTTAAAACCATTCATGAATACATTACTTACTCTTTCCTCTCAATTTAATATACAGCTTATTATTGGGATATTTTGCAGCATTGAAACAGAGAATAGAGCCCTGCAGAGCCATCAGTGCCTGTATCTGTATTCAGATAAAATGCTGGAAGTGGTCGTGGTTTGTACTGGATGTTACATTAAAGGGAAATTTCAGTTTATTTCAACCTGTCTCCTATCGTCCTAAATTTCTTTCAAGTGACTAGTGACATAAAAATAATAGTTAGCATGTTAGCCGTTAGCCTAGATACAGCCGGGGCGCATAGTAGCGTCAGACCTGTTAAAAGGTAAGTGAAGAGAGAGAGAGAGAGAGAGAGAGGCGCAACAGGTAGAGGATGAGAGAGGAGGAATGGCTGCTGCAAGGCTGCGTAGCTCTGGAGATTGGTGATGTACCTGTGAATGCTGTGCCCCAGTGCCCACAGAAGAGGAATGCCTCTATTGCAAGGAATGGGACCGGTTGCAGCCTTATTTTCAAGGTCTGGATGTGACCGAGGACGAGACACCTCCACCTGGAGTAGTATCCAGCTGGGCTTTATCTAGAGCTCGCGAGATTTCAGGCACGGTATGAGATCGCTGCTTGTTCTCGCAATATTTCGGCCGCGCTTTGGAAAGCAGAGCTAAATGGTAAACAAACATGGCACCACACTGGTAAGGTAAGACAACACGTTTACATGTCGTTTTCTATATGTTCTCTGACATTTATCCTAACGATATGAGGCGGTCTTTGTGGAAAAAAAGCTTGTTTAGTGGACTAACTTTGCACTTGAAGTATGCCCATTCACGTTTTAACAGGTCTGACGCTACTATGCGCCCCGGCTGTATCTAGGCTAACGGCTAACATGCTAATTATTATTTTTATGTCACTAGTCACTTGAAAGAAATTTAGGACGATAGGAGACAGGTTGAAATAAACCAAAATTTTCCTTTAAATCAGGCAGTGTTATATTCATTGACAATGCAATTTTTTTGCCCTTGAAACATCATATTGATTTAATATTGGCATATAATTGTGACATATATTTCCACGTCCTCATACTGCCATACTTGTGCACTTTTATTCTCTCTCTCTCTCTATCTTTTCTCTTGATTTTTAACAAAACTCAATTTTATGAATGGTCTATATGCCCATGAAATAAATACTGAAATAAATTTACAAAAATCGGATAATAATAGGATAATAAATATATAAATAAATATAAAAATGTAAATCAGTCAATATAGTTTAATAAATAAATAAATGGGTTTTTTTTCGCATTTATTTTCCAGCTGTTTTTATTTCCAAATCAAAATTTTAAATCAAAATGCCTCTGATTGATACACACAGCGTACAAATCTTAGACTGATAAATATTGACTGGAATACAAGGTGAATTCAACAATCTGAGTTGTTTAGAAGGAAGGTAACACATACAGCGAAAAAACTTTTAAGCTTTATTTTAATGTATAGTTTGCAGGGGATTGAAAGGAATGCAGCTGCTACTGTACACCTAACCATTGTACCACTAGCCAGGGTATGAAATTAACAAAATATTTTAGGGGGAATTTTGGCCCCCACGGTCTAAAAAATGGGGGCATTTTCAAAATGTTTGGGGGCCATCAAAAAATTGTAATTATGTTCTAACAATAAGCACATGAAAAGCAAAACCAACCAAGATAGTGTCTTCACTCTTCAGTAGAAACCACTATAAATGAAATAAATAATGGGTTACATAAAGTTCTGGTTGCAAAATATCACTCAGATTTCCTATAATTCAACCAGTTTAAATGTGATGATTTAACCATTAATCTACTGATAGCAGTACTAATGTTTCACCACATTACAGTTACTTTTACTGTTAAAAAGGCCAAATTACTATAAATTCCTTAGATGCAATCGTGGAAGTAAGTTAATTTAAAATTTAACATTCATTCTACCTTAATTTTTCATTAATTTATCATTGTGTAGACACAGATCATCCAAGAAATGGTTAATCTATACTTCTGGTACAGCAAAGCCCCCTCCCCTTCTCTGTCAGATTACTCTCACGTAATCAGTGCAGTCTCGTTGATTATGTCTGGAAAATGAGTTGTAGACGTGACGGTAAATTAATTTAATGAAAATAAAATTATACTTTAATGTCTGATTGTAATACTGTTAAAAATATAAATACATATAGTTGTTTTGAAAACTTGGGGGCAATTTAGGCCCCTGGAACATGGCTTTTGGGGGCATTCTTGGATAAATTGTGGGCCAAATGGCCCGTGGCCCTTGCTAATTTCTGACACTGCCACTAGCACACTCCTGCACATGATGCTGCCTCCTCCTAATGCACTCTCAGCCCGCTGTGCACTGACATCACTTAGTAGTAAATGAAATTACTACTAAGTGAAGCCCTTGCATTTTTATCTTGTGGCCATCCACAATGATTTAAATGTCAATTTTTTTGCCCCCAATTATTACAAGCAACTTCAGGTAGATTACATATGTTCCAAGAATAGAAGCTACCATTTTATGGTACATGTATTTTTAATGAACAGTGCAGCTTGTGTAGTCGTGAAGTAACCCACACACAGTAGTGTAACTTGTTTGTGTCAGTGGAGTTTAATTGAGTTGTTTAGTGCACTTGACAGTCTGTATTTATTGATTTGCCAGTTTTCACAGAAAAACACATCAATGAAATCAGATTTTTATATTCACAACACATCAAAAAGTTGTTGCTGTGGGGGAAAAAATGAACCAAATCCTCAGGTGGCAGAAAACAGCTCAGAAATATTTCTCTATAATGAGAAAATGAAGACATAAATAGGGAGCATATGTAAAAAAGCTACAGAAAAGCCAAACGTTGGCAGACAATCAGCTGAAAACATGATGAACAGAATAAAGACCTTATTGTCAAAACTGATTTATCACAGTTTCTTTTTGTAGGAAATTTTAAAATCATAATTGTTTTATTGCTGTACTCAGTGTATTACAAATTATTTTAAAATTAAATATCATGGCAACATGACAGATGTGAACAGTTTTCAAATGACTGTCTCATGGGAGATTTTTAACTGTAGTTGATTTTTATCATTGCAACAGATTGCCTGATTGTGTAACAGCACTGTTAGCACTCTCAGTAATTCACTTTAATTGCATCTTGATCTCTGCTGTCAGAGCGCACTATTGCCCTTGTCAGCTTCTCTTTAGTGATGTAACCATATGTGTCTGTCTGTGTGCGTGTATGTGCCCACGCACGTCTGTTTCGGCCCATTAATCTCCAGCTGTGCCTTCGCCAACACTCCTAAGTACAGCCAGGTGAAATCAGCAGGGGGCATCATCGTACGGAAGGAATGGGTACTTGACTGCCATAAGAGGAAACAGAAGATCTCCTATAAACGGTAAGAGAGTGTGAAATCCAAAACAAATTATTGAAAACAGATTTGTTGATAGTGATAATAGTAAAATGAAATTGGCCAGGTTTGGCCACAGGAGCAGCTGGGTGCATTCAGTGTCTAGTTAAAGGGTGCTTCCACAGGGCAACAGCCTGGTTTTAGTGCGGTGCATGTGTTCAATGTATGAAACCTCATCAGATTAATACTTTCTCTTAAGCCACGTCTGTACCTCTACATTGTACAATCTGTGCACAGCACTCACACTGATTGAAGCGGCCCAAAATACACCCCTCGCAGCAGTGATGTCCACTTGCTACAGAGAATTGTAACCTTGAGCAGCTGATGCCTGCTGTGATCGCAGATTCAACCCAGGCAGCTCCAGCAGCTCTCTAATTATATGCCTCATTACAGGGGGAGCTTTCAGAACGTCTTCTGTCATCGTCCCACGTGAATCTGTCGCTACTGAATAATGTAGACCAGATTACTCATCTTAGGCAGTGGACATCCAGATAAATTTGAAAAAAATGTGTTGCACTGTCTGAAGCTTTGCTTTATCATTTAAGGAATTCATTCATACTTGTTTTACTGTGGTGATTGTGTTTGGCTTGAAGAAGAATCGCTTTAAAACGAGGCTCCCTCACTTCAAGGTTAGCTAAGGGTATTGAAGTCATTAGTTTTAGGCTTCTGTTGCATTTAAATGTAGGATAAGAAATATGCAGAGCTAGTGTTGTGGTATATGGAATGTCAAAGTATCACCTCTAATGATAAAGTCCAACTTTCAGCCATTTATATTTTTATTTAACCACTTCCAGTCAAATTGCTGATTTCTACATATGTGCCTGTATACCAGTTTTACTACTTACCACGGTGAAACACATTTCTGAGATCAGCACAGCACAGCCAGGCATTTCTTTCATCATGACCACCGCCGTTTTCAGGGACCTTCAGGAACACAGCGCCAGTTTAATTTTGATCGTCCACACAAGGTCTGCAACTAACGATTATTTTCTTCATTGATTAAAGCTGGGTAGGCAGTTTAATTTTGGCATCATTGGTCAAAGAATTCCATACTATACTTTGAGCAGATTGTAACTCAAAGCAGTCTGAGAGAATGCTAGACTTCCTCCCCTTCCCCCTGGAACCTGTTTTCAGGCTTAGAAAATTTAACCTGTGACAGGAGACTTTGGCCAGTCACAGGTCATTTCAGAGAGAGGATGTTCCTTTTGGCTGTTCTGCAAATGCAGATGTGCGTGCACGTCCTTTTGGGGAAAGCCTGATTCACTGGCGAAGAATCTTACAGAGAAAGTTGCTATTCCTATTTTTCAAATAGAGAGTCTGACAGTAAATGAAATAAAGCATGTGTCAGTCAGGGCATTTCAGAGATGGATGGACAGACAATTTTGCTAATAGTTTAGCCTTCTGCTAACTGGAGCCAAAGTTTCTTTGACATGTTTATGTAGCTACGGTTAGTGAGAGCCTCGAATCACAGTGGGCCCTTTGCCTCACACCCCGCGGATACAGACCACCTGTGGTGTTTCCACTTAAAACAGTAGTGTATCTATTCATATGGCAATAAGATTAAATTAATTATATTTCCAGGAAGAGTGAAAATATTATTGTGAAATATTATTTGATTACAGCGTGTACCATGGACCCCATACATCTGTGCCGCCAGCACCTAGGGGAACTCTAAAGTCATTTTTCCTTCTCACCTTGGTGATTTAGAGAGTAATAACATCAAGGAAGAGAATTGTCCCCAGTTCTCTCACAGGCTGCGTCAGTGATGGATTTGAAAACTTATCTTGTAGTTGACTGATTGTGTATCTGCATGGATGATTGACGATGATCATCAGCCCTGCAGGGAAGGACTCGCTGCGCCTCGAAAAAGTTAAACCCTGTAGAAACCTTACATTAAATTTCTCATCAGCTTCATGGTCTGCTGGATGGATAGATGGACGTTTTCACTGCCTAGCAGTCCAGAGGTGCCAATGCATAAGTTCAAATGCACTTAACATTTGTCCTTTTAATCCCTACGTTTGTGCTGTAAGAGATTTTGTCATTTGTTTATCAGAGGACATAGTTAAATTAGAAATGTAACGGCACTCTGTTTAGACTTCAGCTGTGCAGGGAGCATTACAGAAATATATCTAGGTCCAATCCCGTCAGATGCCAGTGTGATTTTACAGACAAACTGAATGGGTCTTTTTCTTGAACCATAAATTAGCTGCTCATTTTCAGAAAGAAGTGCATGAATCCAAAAGGGGCTTGTAGTGGTGGTGTTGTTCTCTCAAATATATCATATTACTCTGTAGCATGAAACAATTGAATTGGGAGCTTAAGCAGTTGGTTGGTTAGTTGATCAATAGAAATTAACTGTGCAACTATTTTAAGAATTGATCAGTCTTTCATTATCTTTCAAGCATTTGCTGATGTCATGCTTCAAAATGTGACGATTTGCTGCTTTTCTTCAGTGAAAATACAGTGAGATACTTTTAAACAGAATATATTCAGGATTTAGACAGTTGCAACGTCACCCTTTTTTCGCAATTTGTTTTTTCATTTCACAAACAAAGCAAATCAAATCAACAAGTCAGTAATTGGCAGATTAATTGATTATAATAAAAAATCTCAGGTCGCGGCCACAATGGGTGCTGTCACAGACTTGTTAGTGGTTTGCTCTCATGTAGCTATAATAACTTCTTTTGATGTGACATTTCAAAGACATTTTTGTCCCCCAGTTCCAGCATGATAAATCTGGTGATAAGAGCGGGTGCACAGAAATCAATTTTTACTTATGTTTGTCTGCAAAGCCGGAAATGAAAGAGGTCAGAGTTGTGTTTTTGGTGGGATTATCCTGGACAGCCACGTTGTGTGTATGTGTTGTGTAAAGAGTCTGAGAGAGTAATGTGGAAAGCTTATAAATGCTGAACATTAGTTAAGCACAAGACTTTGGTTTTATTAAATCTGTTCATCACCAAAAAGTACACTGAAATGAGAAGTTTGCTGGAGCCTGTGTCGTCATCCTCCCTCATGCTCGCTTTCAGATTGTGTGGAAGATCCCTCACCCCCGCACTCCACCCTCCACCCTCTCTTGTTGCCAGAATAACCCATTCCCCTGCCCAGCACCGCTATTGTGCGGTGCATGGAGTGCGCAGCTTTGATGATGTATCCTTTATTTAAAAGCTGCATCTGGTATGGGTAATTAAAGGGACCACTTACTTTGATGATAACAAGTGCTCAAACAAATACGCACCCTCTCAAACTGTTGCTCCATCACGCACACAAACACTTTGTCCCCAAGCATCTGTAGGCAAATGCACAGCTTCAGCTCCTGCCACGCCTACGTATGCTGTAGTGCAGCTAAGCACCCCAGAAATGCATTCTCCATACTCATTATCCAATCAGTGAGGGTCCAGTGATGGACAAAAAGAGAGGAGAGCAGAAAACACTCAAGCAGCTCTACATCATCCCATCACAATGCAGCTGAATGAGTAAACAAATTTCTCATTAAAAATAAGGCTCAGTTTCAACATCTCAGGAGGAATTGGAAAGTAGTTTGTTTCGCAGAGCCAAAATATCAGCACAGTCGTACGATGATTAAAGTACAGAAAATGCAACTTAATCACATACAGAAACTCATCACCTAAAAGCACATCCAAAAGTGTCAGTTTGCAATGATATAAAATGAAAAGAAGTATCAGTATCAAGTATCAGAATTGTCACTGATTACCTTTCTCAAGTCATCAGTAGTTAACAGAGCATCTACATTTGTATTTGATGAGCCGAGAGACTGATGGCAGTGAATTTTTGTTTAAGAAATTACTTTAAAGAGGAAGCATTAGGTAGCGAACTTGTCATTTTTAAGGGTACTGACCGAATAACAAAGCTCAGAGGCTGGCAACGGAGCTCTGTGGCCGGCTTCCCGGTACTTACGGAGAAACCTGGTTCAACTTCAGACAGGAGGCAGAAGTGCCCCAAAGCTGGAAAGCCGGCCACGGAACCCTGTTGGCTGTTCTGTTGGCTGCTTCCTTGGCTTCCCACCGAGCCAAAACTTTGAGCGTCTGTACTTTTTTCTATATTATATTAGTAATAGCCTTCTATTACTGAAGAGCAGGCACACACAAACACATACACAGGGAGACAGTCAGAGACAGAGGCTTAGCTCTACGTGTGATCAGAAAAGATCAGAGAAACAGAATTGCATGTTTAGTCTACTATCTCTGCAGCTTGTTTAAAAAATAAAAGTACCGGTGTGGGTTTTAATGTGAACCATCTTGCATAGCTTGGTTTTTTACCTGCTCTAAAAAACCCAAGTGTTTCCAGTTCTCCTTAAACAGAGCGTATCGAGCTTTCTGGTCTGTTTTCACGGTAACAACACTTATTGCCATGAGCAACAGATACTGTATTATTCCCCTCGCCCACAGTGTCGTTTTTCATTTTCCAATTTCCTGGACACTTGAGTTTTATGAAACAAGTAAGCATAGGTCAGTAAAATGTCTCTCCTGAGCGGAAATAATTACACCTCAACAGTGATACTTCGACTCTTTGCACTTTGTCTGCACTCTTTGAAGCTAATAATATCCAGGTGACTTCATAGTGGCTTGAGGGAATGTATGGAGAGGGTGGGGAGAAATGTCACATCCTCACTGAACCCTCTCTCACACATCTGGAACACTTGGCTTTTTATATCTTCTCACACTCTCGTAACCTTTTCAGAGATCATTACAGATGGTGTCACTGCCTATCTCTGGTAACAGCACACTCCCTTCATCTTTCTGCTTCTTTTGTCTTTTTTCTCATGCTTTACTTGATTGTCTAATTATCTGCCAAAGACGCTGGTGTTTGCAGTCTGGATTTTTGTTTATCTGTTTCACAAGAATTTGAATAGATTTCAGCTACATTTTGTGTGACATTATACCAGAGAACAAGTGATTAGTTTTCGATCTTTACCCAGTAATTGTGTCCAACTCATTTGGATGGATTTTGGATGTAATTACATATATTTACAGTCACATGGAGCATTAATAATATTAGCAATGAAGTACCTGCTTTGCCCTTTAAAATGTCCAGTGTGGTACTGGACTTTACTGACACTTGAAGTCAGCTGTCATTTAAAAAATTAAAGCCACAGTGTGTAGGAATTTCTCCCATCTAATGTTGAAATCGTATATTGCATTCAAACGGATAGCACACTCTAGCGCCTCACTGTTTCGAACGCATATTGCAACAACGGTAGCCGCTGTGTACCAGAAAGCTATGATAACATTGATGAAACCATGTCATCCGATACTTCATGGAGTATTCATTCAGGCTCCTACACAGACACACGCGACGCAAGTTGACAAACCCCTTCCTCACCATACTGGCTGTGTTTACAACATAGGACTTTTTGGGCGGGTGTAAATCGAAACAAACCAATCACGTCTTGTCTTTTGACACACACACCTCATCGCTTTCCTCACATCACTCACATGGGCCTGTGATTGCATTACCTTTCTCCTTTAGCAGCTCTTTCCACCTGGGAAAGGCTACCCCGATGTTGACCCTCGTTTTTTTTAATTTGCTGGTCACGTTGCCTTTTTGATTCCCTTTTGCGCTTTCTTGCAGTAGTGCCGGGGTAGTAACGAAGTGCCTCGTGCTCCTCTCCTTTGGCTTTTCAGTCACACAGCGCTGGCCTGGCTCTCAACGAAAACGCCAAAGGCGGGGCTGTATGTCTCTTGCTGGCGGATGTATTTTCAAGATGGCGAAACGTTATGGAATCCCCCAGACGACTTGCCCGCACAATGTACAAACAAACCTCAAATTCTCCTTTTACGAGAGTAAGTCAGATTATTGGTGGAGGTAATAGTACACCAATGATGACATATTTATGAATGCAGGCATCAGTTTTTACCAATAAACAACTGAAAATGTTACACAATGTCCCTTTAAGGTGTAGTCCACACATGCACAGGTATCTCTGAAAACTGGATTCTTGCACCCTTAGTTCTCAAAAAGAATCCCGTCCACACAAAAGCAGTGTTAGAAAAAATCTCAGTGCAAATAAAAACACAAACAAAGTGATGTTAAGAGTATGCCATACCAACAAGTGGCAATATAATGGGACCTACGGGACACTAAAACACGGTAGTTCACCGAGATGGGCGCGATTTTGCAGGACTCAGCAATGCACACTTTGATGAGCTCTGTGACCCTCTTAGCCTGTGCGCTGAGTACACGCTCATACTTTATATGATAACCTGCATGATCCTCTGTGAGAATGCTGAACAAGATCCTGAATTATTTCGGTCTGATGAAAACTGATAAAAATTGAACTACTCGAATTGTTCTGAGAATATTGACCCATAGAAATATAGAAATTGAAATCAGCACAATTGAACGAAATCCTCAATAATATTGAACAAAAACCTTGTAAGCTATGCAGGGTTAGTGAGTTAGCCTTGCTATCTAGGTAGGCTATGCTAACAAGTAAGTTTTGAATAGGCTATAAAAAGGAGGGAAAATGTGTTAATCACAGGTATGTGCAACTGAAAAATGATATTATCCACACTCTTCAGCAGTGAACGATATGCTAGCCTATTGGCATGCTTACTCATTAGCATAGCCTTCCTAGTTATCAAGCTAACTCATTAATATTCTAGCCTGTTGGCAAGCTAACTTGTTATTTTGTCCTACCTACTTAGCAAGCTAACGTACTAACCCCCCAGTTGCTTTTAAGGTTTTTGTTTAATGGTACTGAGGATTTTGTTCAATTTTACTTACTTCATTTAGCAACCTTAGCTCTGAAAAAGCACAAAGGAATTCTGAAAGAAGCACAGGAGCTGGTTGAATGCAATGTTGGCCCAGGAGGGTGATGTGGGATGTTGATCCAGGAGCATATCCTACTTGACAAAATCACGTCGTGCGGTCGCATGGTTAGTGATTGGATTTAGGACCACCATAGATTGTAAAAAATAATGGACATAGCTACTGTTAAGTCTCACATTTGTTTTGTGAGCTCCTGTTTTGAAGCCTTGGGTTCGGCATTATGGCCATCGCCATCTTGGTTTTCTTTGAAACAAGAAGTGACCATATTTGGATGAGAGGGTAGGGCTGTGAAGGAGCAATGGGTGGATCTGACTGAGAAGCCGAGACTATCGGCAGACGGCATTTCAGTGAAAGCAACCCTCCCATAATTATGTGTAACTCTAAGCCTAGATAAAATGTAAATGGATGAGTTCAATAAAATTGGACCCCCCGTGTAGTGGTCATGAGATCAGAGCCAGTATTTTTTTTTACCAGGCTGTGAACATGATTATTTCTGCTGTAAAGAATTTTAACATGGGTGTCTATGAGGACTGACTTGACTAGCTTCCGGAGACAGCCTCAAGTGGTTATTCAAAGAACTGCCACCTCTGTCTTGGCTTCATTTTTCAAACATGGAGGTTGCCGCTTGAGGACAACATGAAAGCGGCCCAGATCTGATTGGGAAAAGATCAGATTTATGACTACTGGCCATCGTAGCATTCTCTTAACCGAGAGTGACTGTGAAACAAGAAAAGGCTGTTGAGGGCATTCTGGGTGAAGCCTAATTTGTGACCGGGTTGTTCTTGCATTTGGTTTCATCCTCCTGCAGTAGATTCGTCTTGTCTCCCAGCAGGCAAACTTCAAAGTATTTAAGACACAGGCAGCAGTAATGTATTAAACATCAAGATACTGAATGTCTGGTGAAAAGAAATTACCTTCAGTCTGAACCTTGATTCCACTTTTGCCCGATGATGGCCCACTGTCGTTTTGAAACATTGAACAAGTAAGACTGATTGGTAGCAAGATATATTGTGCAGGTGTTCTTTTTCCTCTGGCCTTTAATCATCGTGACACATTTTGTTCACCCGTTCTTTGTATTCCTCTAGGTATTTGATGGATGGAGCAGAGTCGAGTTCGGAGAGCGAAATGGAAGATGACGACCAGAGTGAAGACGAAATTAACACAAAGGTGAGTTTGTTGTTTTAAGCGAACCTATAAATGATCCAGTTTTTAACAGTCAGTTTTAATGCTTTCTCCACGCTGTCCTGGCAGACTCCACTGAAGCAGGAGAGACAAGTGACCCCCAAAAAGACACCAGAGAAGAGGAATGATGATGATGAGTATGCCGGCTCCACTGATGTGGATGAACCAGGTTTGAATCTTACTACTTTAATCGAAAGTCCTGCTGTGAAAAAATGTAATGGAACTACCTGATGATCCGTTTAAGATTCAGTCAACGTCAGCATTGCCTCTTCAATGACTCCACACTTTTCTCTTTATTTCTTTGCGCACTACAGAAACTATTGTTGGGATAAAAGAGAAAACGCCTCGTTATTCTGACAAGTGGCTACAACAGTCTGAAACTGTGTTTTTCTATGGACAAAGTTAACCTGAGACAGGCAGACAGACAGGGTGTAATGCTGGGGGAAGAAGTGGGCAGTCAGCCTGTTGAAAAGGTGAAATAGAGAAAATGGAAGAGTGACAGTCAAGACCAAAGAGGCACTTACGCTTTGGATAGAGTTTGAGTGGAAAGTAAAAAAAAAAATGTGCACAAAGTAAAATTCGCTAACTGTTGAAGGGCAAAACAAACATTTTCTTGTGAGTCATGTGGGCCAACTTATTTCTTTTAGTGTACCTGAAAGTGATGTTGAACTGCTCACCGCACCACTTTGAGTTTCTTCTACGTCTGTTCTCTTTCACTGATAATGTCTGATAACAATTGTTGGACAGATTTCTTAAGAATTTTGTTCAGAAATGTATGGTTTCCAAACAATACATTTTTACGAGGTAGGTGATCTTGACTTTTCACATTTTATGGGTGCAAAGTGGTGGTGATGTCATTTGGTACAGACATTTATGTCCCCACAAATTAAAGACTTCCCCCTCACTTTGCTTAAAGCTCCATTAGGAGGTCAAAATTCAAACTTTGGTGTGTGACCAATAGTCGCATTCCCATCAACCTCAGCTGCACTTTGTGTTCAGTGCCTATCAAAGAAAGTTAGCATACTAGCACGCAAAAGTTTTCAACTCTATGACTCAGGAATGGAAGAGGACGCATTTGGTCAGATGCTGAATCTGTGACTCTATTCTTGGATGCCCCCCCTTGGAGCTGTGATGAGTGTAAATATCTTCTGTGCTGCCGGGCGGGGAAAGTTGTGTGTGAAGCATCTGTGTTTTCACAGATATGGATATAAACTGTAAATGCAACTTGATGGGTTCGCGGCGACATTCAGCTGCAAGGCATAATTCTAGTTTTTGTTTTTTGTCAGTGTACAGCGTACTTGTGGGGTATATTTGGTCCCCAGACATAGCTGTACAGTACAGCAGCAAGGGTCCCAGACCTAGGGTGAATCTGAGTGAGAGGAAGGCAGCTGCCTGGACGAAGATAGGCTTTGCTCCGTAACACTCAGAGATAACGTTATCTTCTGCCCTCTCCTTAGAAGCTGTGAATTTACAGCTCACAGTAACCTAATATGATACAGTGTGTGGCTTTTGTTTTATGTCTAGTGTAGTGTTGCACGGTATACCGGTACCAAAATAGTACCGCGGTACTAGAGTATTCCAAACGGTACTATACTGCATTTGGAAAATACCGGTACTTTGAAATTGATTCATTTCATTAATTTAGTTAATTTATTTTACTCATTTATGCACACAAATGCCTTTCTTGTTCCTATTGGAGCACAGATTGCGCAAGTGGTGTGTATGACATCACTTGTATCACCATTCGCAGCTGGCCCAAGAGAAAGTCTGCCTCGCAAAGGGAGACAACACGAGACAACACCAACTTAGTGAAACATTTGAGCAACCAAACCGTGACGTCCGTACCGAGGTACTTACCGAACCATGATTTTTTTGGTACCGTTACACCCCTACTATTTATTGTTCTAAAGGTTTGTATCCAAAAGGACTTTTCCTTAGGAAAAGTACCGAAGAGTATCGAAAAGTATCGAAATTCATATTGGTATTGGTACCAAAACAAAGATTTTGGTATCGTGACAACACTAGTCTAGTGTCACCAAAAAAGTTGTTGCACATTTTCAATCCATCATTAGCGTAGTTAGCACACATTAGCTTGGTGGACTAGCTTGGCTTGTGTACTATAGTACTTACACATCACTGTCACCCTGAGTGTTCCACGAAACCGCATTCAGACCCTCAAACCCTACATGGGAGAAAAGGAACGAGTAGTTGAATGTCTGTATTACACAGCCAAATCAGAATCGACTGGCATAACTCTGAGTAGGGTACAACCCAAGCAACATTATACCAGCTTAAAACTAGAATCCTAATGTTGTCATTGTGAACATGTTAGCATGTCTATGTTAGCATTTGGTTTAATGCACCACTGCGCCAAAGTTCAACCTTGCAGAGCTGCTAGTATGGCTGAGAACACCTAAACTCTACAGTTCCTCAGGGTCAACCACTACAAATAAACTGCAATGAATTAGAAGATACAGGAAAACACCATTTGTCACAGGTGTGAAAACAACAAACCAAAAAGTTCACAGCCACAGCCTGGTGAGTAAAGCAGAAATTAAGTTATATATATATATTAAGGCTGCCCCCAACAAAAATTTTCCCTAGTCGACCAGTAGTCATCATTTAGGGCCATTAGTCGACTAGTCTCCTGCATGTTTACGATATTAATGTGATATTAAATTATATATTTTGGGCGGGGCAACACAATGGTTTGAGTTGAAGGTGTGAGAAAGAATAGTATTAGTAATATTGTTAACACTGTGCTACATTACAGAGAAATACAAAACCGTACTAATGAACCTTCATTAATATAGGCCTATATTTTATCTACAAGTGCACGTCACACACTGAGCGAGCCGCCTGTTAATGACACTGTCAGCAAAGCAGTAATGATGGTGCTAAGTGGCTAATGGGCATGTAGCTACTTCCATGTTTCAGATGATACGTCATGTTTGTAGGTGATGAATGATAGGCAAGTGTTTGCCTGCAGAGTTTACATATCACCTTGGGTAACTTGGCTGTGGAATAACTGCAGGTACCAGCCCTGGGAATAAAGGGCTGTACAGATGTCACATCCAGTTTTCAAGAGGGCAGCGGCAGGTTGTGTCTGAGGTTGCTAAGCAACCATAACAAGCATGGTATAGCCCATTTACCTGAAAGCCTGAGTGCAGAGCTGATCTTCTCCCAGGAGCTGTTAGTAAGTTTGTAGGTCTATCGTCAGTGGGACAGATGTAAAGCTCTGGGTAGCCCTGCACTAACATGATCAACTTTAACGTATTTATCAGGCTGAATATTTACGAAAGAAGGGAAATATGTCTGTCGGCTGTGATTGGTTTGTGACTCCTGTCTGACTGCTGAGCGCTGCCTTTTCCTGCGTCTGTCCTTTCAAATTAAATTCCCACATGGTCCAGTCATATAGGTTTTGATTTATTTCGACTCCTAATAGAGTTTCACTTTCTTCTATGCGAATAAGCGAACAATGAATTCTTGCCGACTAATGACCTTTTATTTGGTCGACTTTTATGGAGCAGCCCTAATAAATATATACATACAGTACAGGCCAAAAGTTTGGACACACCTTCTCATTCAATGCGTTTTCTTTATTTTCATGACTATTTACATTGTAGATTCTCACTGAAGGCATCAAAACTATGAATGAACACATGTGGACTTATGTACTTAACAAAAAAAGGTGAAATAACTGAAAACATGTTTTATATTCTAGTTTCTTCAAAATAGCCACCCTTTGCTCTGATTACTGCTTTGCACACTCTTGGCATTCTTTCGATGAGCTTCAAGAGGTAGTCACCTGAAATGGTTTTCCAACAGTCTTGAAGGAGTTCCCAGAGGTGTTTAGCACTTGTTGGCCCCTTTGCCTTCACTCTGCGGTCCAGCTCACCCCAAACCATCTCGATTGGGTTCAGGTCCGGTGACTGTGGAGGCCAGGTCATCTGCCGCAGCACTCCATCACTCTCCTTCTTGGTCAAATAGCCCTTACACAGCCTGGAGGTGTGTTTGGGGTCATTGTCCTGTTGAAAAATAAATGATCGTCCAACTAAACGCAAACCGGATGGGATGGCATGTCGCTGCAGGATGCTGTGGTGCCATGCTGGTTCAGTGTGCCTTCAGTTTTGAATAAATCCCCAACAGTGTCACCAGCAAAACACCCCCACACCATCACACCTCCTCCTCCATGCTTCACAGTGGGAACCAGGCATGTGGAATCCATCCGTTCACCTTTTCTGCGTCTCACAAAGACACGGCGGTTGGAACCAAAGATCTCAAATTTGGACTCATCAGACCAAAGCACAGATTTCCACTGGTCTAATGTCCATTCCTTGTGTTTCTTGGCCCAAACAAATCTCTTCTGCTTGTTGCCTCTCCTTAGCAGTGGTTTCCTAGCAGCTATTTGACCATGAAGGCCTGATTGGCACAGTCTCCTCTTAACAGTTGTTCTAGAGATGGGTCTGCTGCTAGAACTCTGTGTGGCATTCATCTGGTCTCTGATCTGAGCTGCTGTTAACTTGCGATTTCTGAGGCTGGTGACTCGGATGAACTTATCCTCAGAAGCAGAGGTGACTCTTGGTCTTCCTTTCCTGGGTCGGTCCTCATGTGTGCCAGTTTCGTTGTAGCGCTTGATGGTTTTTGCGACTCCACTTGGGGACACATTTAAAGTTTTTGCAATTTTCCGGACTGACTGACCTTCATTTCTTAAAGTAATGATGGCCACTCGTTTTTCTTTAGTTAGCTGATTGGTTCTTGCCATAATATGAATTTTAACAGTTGTCCAATAGGGCTGTCGGCTGTGTATTAACCTGACTTCTGCACAACACAACTGATGGTCCCAACCCTATTGATAAAGCAAGAAATTCCACTAATTAACCCTGATAAGGCACACCTGTGAAGTGGAAACCATTTCAGGTGACTACCTCTTGAAGCTCATCGAAAGAATGCCAAGAGTGTGCAAAGCAGTAATCAGAGCAAAGGGTGGCTATTTTGAAGAAACTAGAATATAAAACATGTTTTCAGTTATTTCACCTTTTTTTGTTAAGTACATAAATCCACATGTGTTCATTCATAGTTTTGATGCCTTCAGTGAGAATCTACAATGTAAATAGTCATGAAAATAAAGAAAACGCATTGAATGAGAAGGTGTGTCCAAACTTTTGGCCTGTACTGTATATATTTATACAAAGATCCAAGAACTGAAGTGTAAGTGTCTGTGACTCACGGGAAGTGACTCATTCTAACTAACGAGGGAGAGGAGAGGGTAGCACTGGAGCTGAAGAGGACTGAATGAATTGAGAGGGGCAAGGGGACAATATGAGGGCCGAAGGATTAGACAGAAGGATCACCTTTACAAAGCACTTGGAGATGGATGAGTTGATAACACCACCGTGAAAAGAACAAGAACAATATAGGTACTGTGGATTCTGTCTGAGGGGGAAGCAAGCATAGAGGAGAGATAGAATCACCGTGAAGGGACTTGTGCATGATTCTAATTTCTATGTTAACGCGAGGCCAGAAGTAAAGTGCCGTGGTGCATCAGTGAGGCGACACAACAAGCCCTGACCCAACAAACACACACAAGGGGAGACGGCATTTTAATTAGACCTGCTTCTCTTTTGCCCCTCAACAGCACAGGATTGTACAATAATGTAAAGTGCTGCCAACAAAGTTTTATCCTTTGAACTGATGATATGTGTGTCACAGAAAAATGGATTCATCTGGTATGTTTCTCTTTCTGCTGTGCATTGTGAAAATTTAAGGTCCATTCCATTTTACTGGCATTTTTTGAAAGATATTTAGCTTTAAGATTAAGGGACAATTGACCCAAAATCAATTATACATATTTTTCCTCTGCCCTGTTGTGCTATTTATCAATCCTGATTGTTTTGGTGTGTGTTGCAGAGTGTTGGAGATATATCCTTCTTTGCTGTGATACTGTTGGCAGGTGTAGTTTGGTAGAAAGATAACAGTTCCTACGTGAAACTGCTCACAACAAGGTCTGTGGATTATCTTGAGTAACCAGATCATGATTTCTGGGAAGGGACATTGCTGTTGATCAATTATCTTTGAGAGAAGGCAGACATCTCTACAGACAATCTCGCCAACACTCTGCAACTCACACCAAAACAATTTAGATTGATAAACAGCACTACAGATATGAGAACTTTACTCACTTTAAGGCTGGAGTGCAGTAATGGAAATCGAAGCTACAGGCATATAGCAACAACCTTGAATTGATATAGTAAACTATAAATATATATAACATATCACAAACTTTTCTGCAAAGACACGTCAGCTCTTTAGGTTAATCTTTTTACCATATTGACTAATAAACGCTTAATTTCACAGGAGGTGGTGATGAGGACTCTGCCGTGGACACTGAGGATGAGCTGCAGAGGTAAACAAAACAAATGATGTCATTGATGCTGATAGTAATTGATGTGGACGGGTTTGTTCTTCTGTGTAATTAAAGATTGTACACTTGAATTGTGCTCTCTTGTTGGCCCACTTGTAAAATAACCATCAGTTATTTTTACAGTCAGTAATTGTACTTCAACTTGAAGTGACTTTTGATTTATAATGACACAATAATTATACAATATGTAGCTTATAGTTTAGTATTATTTTTTTTTTGTAGTATATTGCAGAATTGCAGAGTCAAGTTTATTTTCATATACGTCAAAAAGTACAATTTTACATTCAGATGCAATCCAAGGCATCTGCCCTGGCTCTCTATGTCTTTACAACTATGTATAAATAAGAATAAATGAAACCCAACAACAATAATAAGAGGATTAGCTCTGGCACCTCACAGACAGAGGGTTTTGGGTTTGAACCCACTGGCTGGGGCCCTTCTGTGTAGAGTTTGCAGGTTCTTTTAGGTCTTCTCTTGTTTTTCTGGGTTCTCTTGTGTCCTCCTTGCTGTGTATCCTGTGTGTCCTGTAACACTAGCCCTATTTAAATAGGAATTGTGCAAATTTACAGGAAAGCCCAATCAGTCTTTTTTCAGTATTGGCAGTATAAAAACAAAATCAGGGACTGCAGCAAAATGCCGCCTACCTACTTTTGTTCATACAGAATGCTCCTTTTTCGGGGCGTGAGCAAGTAACAAAACGTGTAGCTCAGCGTGTAACGTAAACAGTGACGTACTCCAAGGGAAGCTGCAGCTGGTCAGTCCTTCGGCGATTCTCTCGTAAGTTGGCCCGTTCTTCACCGTCCCCGTCATTTGACGTTTAATGGCCTCTTCATTTGCGAGGGCAAGGAGGGCGTGCAATTATTTGCCTCCCCAGTTGTTCATCTTTACTGTAGTGTCTGTCAGGTTTGTGTTTCCCTCTTGCTACTAGTACTAGCTGCTCATTCCTGCTATCAGCTGTTTCCTGTTTATCCACCGCCAATGGGTCAGATGTGCGGCGTCATCAACAGCTCCTCCCGTAGCAGAAGGGCACCTTGTTCTTTTTAAACCAAAAAGATCAACTCGCCAGTCCGGCTCTGTGTGTCTAAACGCTCGCAGCTTGCCAGCAAAACGGCCCAACATTCGCCGAAAATCTGGCAGTGTAAAAGGGGCCACTGTGAGTTTTTAAAGTGCTTTCTATTCAGTAATCTAACTCTATAGGTGTTTCCAACCAGAGGAACTTTTTCATAGTTCTCAGAATCTCTTGTTTTGCTGTGTTTGCACTGTAAGAACTAGGAATGATTGCAGTTCTTAGACAGCCTTTTTTTTTATCTCCTATATCAAAGTAGGTACTCTCTCAACACAAGAGAAACCATGAGTAACCTAAGTGTTTGTTGATTGGTCAAACACAGCCAATGCCGCACTGGCAACTGCCATTTAAAAAAAAAAAAAAAAAAAAGACCCATCAGCCACAACAGGAAACACAAACTACAGCATGTAGTGAAAAATGGAAGAAAAAGAAAACATGGACAAGTGGACCGACAGTGGAGTCCAGGCTTTACTGAGTGAATTGTATATGGCAATGCAATGGGATTTTGATTCGTCAAAGTAGAAGTGACGGTGCTATACTAACCGCTGCCCGGCTTACAGTACTTTACGTCACTTCAGTGTTTCTGTTGGCGGTGCAAATGCAAACAGAAAAAAGCTCTCAAAGGTATTTAGCTCTTTGGGGGAGCTCCCCAGTGGGCAGTTCTCTCAGGGCACCCTCAGAAAACACCTTTTGAGACAGCTGGTACGAGTTCTGATGCTCCACAGGCGTTAACCTGAGGGAAGGAATGAGAACTGACCATGTGTTGTATGGCCCGTGTGCTCCATTATACTTACGTCCTTTCTTAAAAATCCTGAATATGTGGCAGTGATGTTCCTATAATGTTTTAAGCCACCGTTACTCTCCTCCCCAGCTGTTTGTGGTGTTGTTCAGTCATGTTGCCAAACCACACCAGTATGTGACCAGTAAGGATGCTCTCTAAAGTAGCCCAGTTGAGCAGGTTTTTTAGAGACATTCAATTTTTTTAAGGCATTGCAGAAGGTAGTGTTTGTTGTGCCTTCATCTTGACACAGCTGCTGTTTAGAGACCTGAGGAGGGAGTCTGAGATCTGAGCCAAAGCCAAAGAATCTGATGTAACTTAATTTCAACAGGGACATTGTTGATGTTAACTGGTGGCTGAAGATGTTAGTTGGCTTGAGGATTGTGCTCATAGTGATATATGGCACTGAGGAAGTGACAGAAGTCTTTAAAGAGGCCTTTTTTGTGCTGTTACCTAAAACAACTTAGACCCATAGATTATTATCACCAGACTCAGTCATCCTCCGTTCTATGGGGCATTTTAGCATCTGTCAGCTCATCGTTTTGGTTTTAGGACCTTCAGCTTATTGACTCAGTCTCACTGCTCCAATCAGCATTGTTTCCAGTAAAAAACGGTCTGAAATCTCACTGTACTCTAACTGCCCAGCACCAAACAGCAGACAGACAAAGAGTTGGTGGAGATTAATGTTGCTCTTTGTCTGCTTGACTTCTAATTTGCAACATTAAGACATGTGCCCACAGTGTTTCTACGCAGTTAACAACAAACTTACACTCTGTGTCCAGGCAACCTGCTACGATCTGCTGTGTGATAGTTTCTAACTGACATGCCATACAGCTCAGGATAGAGAGTGCGAGATTGGCAGTGACGATACCAATACCTTTATAATAAGTTAATAGATTTTCAGCTTGGAGTGCTAAGAGCAGCCACAAAAAAAAGCCAAGCACTCAGAACAAGGATGCTGGGCACAGTGCCTTTTCTGTAGGCAGCTGCAATTGCTCTCCTCTCATTAGGAACAATTTGAAAAACACACTGGCACTCAGAAAAAAATGCTATGTGGACACACACCCTTACATGTCAGTGTTGTGTTTACAACTTGTTCCACTGCCCCAAGTAACTAAAAGTTGTTTTGAACTGGTTTTCCTTTCAAGATTATCTCGGATAAGAGCTCACTTTTCCAAAATGACTAAATTGCTGGTAGACTGGTGGTTAAGTGTGTATTTATACCAAAATACAGAACTAAAGAACAAACAGTAATCTTTAAAAGAACTACTTTTGTACTTGTACTTGTCAGTGTATTTAACTGTAACTTAAATTTCTATGGATACGGTTGAATTTAGTCCACTAACTACTCTGATGGCCTATATGGAGTGATTACAAAAGTGCAATACTAACTTTAAATTTTCCCTTAACAGAGATTCAACAGCTCCATAAATATGACATCTGTACTGCCCTGCCAATGTAACTGTGACCACCATTAGAAGAAGTGATCAGACGAGACAAAAAAAAACAAAGGCGACAAGCAGAAAGGTTTCTTCTTCTGACAGCCAGGCAGGCGTGGAGCCATGTGGCATAAAAGATGCAACAGGTCCTTTACTTGTCCTTGTTACAGGGTGGAGAACGAGAGCAGACAGAAGAAAGCAGCAGCAGCAGAGGGGAAGACAGTGAACCAGGAGGATCCATACGGGGGGTCGACAGATGAAAACACCGACGCTGAGGCTGAAGAGGATCACCCCATCCCTGAGCTACCAGGTACGTCTCTCTTTGTTCTTGTCTCCATGTCCTCCTATCTCTCTTTGTCTGTTCCGATCACAGGAACAGATGTCCCCCCTTACTTATCGGACATTGCGAACACGGACAGAAAGTAATTGGATGGCTTTCCGCCTTTCAGGAACACGACACAAACGTCAGGGTTTGTGCTGTTTTCCTCTGTTTTCTTCGGTGCTTTGCTCCCTTCTCACCTTTTTCAAAGAGCACCTATAATTACTCCTCCTACATATTGTAGAGTCATCAGTTGCACTCCTCTGCTTCTTTCACTTCCTATTTTCTCATTTCTTCCAGACTTCCTGAAAGGAAAGCACTTTTTCCTCTATGGTAAATTCCTTAACAATGAGAGGCGACTACTGTTGAGATACATCGTTGCCTTTAACGGGTGAGAAAGAGTTCTAGAAGTAACCCATTACGATTTTTATGTTGCAAATGTTCGTATAAAAACATGATGTTGTCTTGCTCCAGACTGATTGAGGACTACATGACAGAGAAGGTGCAGTTTGTGGTGACCAGTGAAGGGTGGCATGACTCCTTTGAAGACGTGAGTTGAGTCCTCGCTTGTTTATCCCTAATAATGATGTCTAACACAAGCTTAAGAACATGAACATCTCTGTGTATGTTGGTTTTAGCATGTGTGCAAGCATGCTTTTACATTTGATTTGATTAGATGAACATAATAGCTTCAGGAAACTTAAAGGCCCTGACACACCAAGCTGGCGGTTGGACAGGTCGTGAGTGTCTGTTGCCTTAGTTTTTGCAGTGCTGTCCTCACTGTTGGCGCTAGTCGGCCCTTGTTAGATTTATTTTCAGCGTGTTAGAACGGTGTCAAAGACAGCAGGGCCTGTCGGAGAATAAAAACACTCTGATTGGCAGTTAAGCTCAGTGTACACAAAGAGGAAAGGAAGTAAGGAAAGCAAACAAATGATTAAAATGAAGAGGGTGGGGTTGTCCACTAGCTCCACCCCCTCGCTAGTCGGTACCAGCAATATTAGTCGGTTAAACCAGTTAGTGTTTCATTCATGTACGCTTAACTGTCATGCAGCCGACCGCCACTAGTGGGGGCTACAGAGCCATCAGACAGCAGTCCCCCTCCCCCGTGGTAATGCTCACTGGAGTTTTAAAACAGCACGGTGGGGAATAAGAGCGATGACCTCCCGCAAAACCATCGTGGTTTGGCAGTACTTTGGTCCAGAACATGAAAACAAGGTAGTATGTCAGTGGTGTCAGAAAAAACTAGCATATAATCACTCGACTGGAGCAATGCTCAGCCACGTTCAACTCAAGCATTTGGATGTTAGCCTGCTGCTGCTAGCGGTGCTAGCCACATAGCCCAACTTGACATCGTTCACCTGGAGACGCTGTGATCCCGCCCGGTCTGAGGAGATAACGCAGCTCATCACGACAATGACTGCCCAAGATATGCTTCCACTTAACTTTGCTAAAGTTAAAGCTTCAGGAAGTTAATATATGTTGAGCCTGAATACATAGTGCCAGGACGTAAAAAGATAACCTCCAGGCTGAAGGACGTTCACCATTAAATGAGTTTTTTTCCTTTTTTTTTTAGACTAGTCGACTAAATTTTTGTTTAGTTGCCAGGATCATCCCTAGTTGTTACAACAGCGGCCGAGGGCTTGATTCCAACCTATGGCCCCTTGCTGCATGCCGCCCCTGTCTGTCTCCACTTTTACTCTGGATCTGTCCTGTCTGAGAAAGGCAAAAATGCAGAACAAATAATCTTTATCAAAAAAATAAAACTCAAGAGGGAGTGAGACCAAAACAAACTTGTTATATTAGGAAGAATTCATTTTTTGAGCCATTGATCTCGTTAGCAAAAACAGGTCCTAATTATTTGTGTCCCTGTTTGCTACAGTGCACAGCCAGTATCCTTTGTTCTTTCTAAATGCGTTGGGTTGTTAATGTGCTAACTAGCGTCTTGAATCCACCCTGTCGGTCTCCTGGTTTCCCTTTTTGACTGACTAACACAGACCACCGCTGTCCACTGATATGGAGAGTTATTTCCTCTCACGCAGGCCTGAAGGTACATGCTAGTCGGCCGTTGGCTCTGCAGTGTCTTCAAATTAACTTCCTGGCCGAGACACAGGTGACGTGAGGCGATGGAACAGTCAGTCTTTAATACCACCACTTCCTTTATGTCAGTTGGGTGTGTCCAGGACTTAATGCACGGTTATACAAAGTACGCTGCTGAAAATCTCTTTTTAAAAAGTCCAAAGAGGGAAAAAACATACAGAGGCTTTTAAGACATTTTCTGTTAAGCAGCAAGCACTTATTTGCTAAGGTATAATCAAATAAAAGCATCGGAGCAAATTGGGAACCTGAGTATTTCAGCTCTGCCAGGGAAAATGTAGCAGTTTTCGGACCAAGTGGCTTTTAAATCTGTTTGAATTTATGAGTCAGAATTGGTTTTCAGCCCTTTGGCGGCTTTGCTAGCACCCGAAGTAGAAGTTTCAGTTTAACAATCAGAGTTGAGTTCTTCATTGGCTAATATACCTCTGTGCATTTGTAATTCAATAAGAACACTTCATGACCTCTCTGTTCCTCTTGCTTTCACTCTCACTTCCATCACAGGCACTGATGGAGAACAGCAATCTGAACTTTGTCAAGCCTGCATGGATTTACGCAATAAATGAACGACAAAAGCTGCTGCCGTATCAGCCCTACTCTGTCGTCCCCTGAACACTGCGCTGTATGTACACACAAAGGTGTGACTCACTTACACTTCATATCCAGACCAACAGGGAAAGCCATACATACATTTTTTTTTACTTTTTCAGATTCACTGCTTCACTTACATAAAAGCAAAAAAAAAACATTACTGTTTCATTAATGCATTTCCACTGACTTTATACTTGCTATTCATGAAATGTCTTCGGTCCTCAGGTGTTTTCAACACAGATGTTCTCACCTTTCAGCCAAGATGAGGTCTTTTATAATGTGTCTGTTGAAGTAAATGTTAGGATAAGGTTTAGATTTATTATTAGCTTTTTATTTGAAGGTTGTTAGGTTTAGCTTTGCAAGAAAGTAACGTCTTCATCGTCAGTGTGCTGCTCAGGCACTTTGAGCAAAGCACACTCTCCGATTCAGGACTTGCTTGAATTCTTTGGACCCTGTACTGCAGTTTGCTGCGGCTCACCTTGGCTACCTCAGGCTCTGTCTGGAAATGAGTTACCATCCTGTCCTGACTGCCAGCGGCACTGATAAGACTCTGACATGTGTAAGTGGGAAGACCATTATGAGACCAGCCTAAAGTCGGGTGAAAGGTGCCATTTATTTAAGGCTGCAGCCACCAAATGCAAAAAACCGGGACAACTAACCCTACAAATGAATATAAATTCTGGGGGACTGTTTGTTTTTCTCCTTCTATTTTATTAAATGCCAGGAGTGGGGAAAGTGATGGATTTGTTGGTGTTAAAGTTTGATGAATCTCAGTTTGTGGTTTGGTTTTATTCATGTTTGCTGAATAAATATTACAAGAGATGGACTTGCTCGACAGATGTGAGGACGTAAAACGCACGTCAGCGTTTTGCGTCACTAGAGATTTCCCAAAATGCTTCTTAAGACATGAGGAGGCGACACGAGGCTTGCTCGTCCAAAGCAGCTTGTTTAAGTCTCTTGTCTCAAACTTTTTTTTGTTCTTAACTTACTACTTAATTATTTTGTCTAAATAAAAAATAAATTTTTAATTGAATGTGTTGTGCTCATTTTTATTCATTGAACTGTCTTTGCCCTCAGCTGCTCTCTTCCCTTTTATGCCTTCTTCTCTGTGTATGCAGCTGAAGAGGCACTCTCTTCCTTTTCATTTCTTCTCTCATCTCGAGCGCCTTTCTGCTCTCTCTAATTTACTTCTCGTCCTGTTTCGCGCCCCGGAGCCACCGGGTCCTCTGCTCTTCAGTCAAGGGGATTAGAAAGCAAGAATGTAGATGTGAGACAAGGAGAGGGGGGTTGTGGCGGTTACAGGGGGGAGAGAGGCTGCAGGAACGATGGAGAGGTTTGAACGTGTGTTTTTAAGTAGCTAACAATCAGACTGGTATTGCTTATTTTGTGTAAGGTGAATTCACACATACCAGCAAGTGTGAAACATGTTAGTACCGACTGCTGCAGCCCGTTACCAGGGGCTGATTTGCTTTTCATAAATGGGAGAGTGCAAGGTCAAACCCATTCAGGTGTGGAAGCAGGAAAATTTACAGCAGCTAACGGCATCATCCTGATACAATGTCATATTTCATCTAAATGCATATCTGTCGTGGAGATGGCAGAGACGATGAGCTGCTTTCAAATTGTCCCATTTGACAGGTCAAACAGCAGAGTTTCCACCTTATTCTTGTCACCTTGATCTCTTCTAGTCAGATTTATTCCTCGCTCTTTGCATTTTTATGTCTCCCATGAATCTTAGCAATGACCTTGACTGACTGTTAGATAGCCAAACATTGTTTGACTCTGTAGTTGTGACGCTCATTATCGTTGGCACCCAGTGTTGGGTGTCCTCGACTGATCGATGTTTTTTTTAAATTGCTGCAAGATTTCAGTTTTTTATTCTTGTTTTCCTTCCATCTTGTCATCATGCTGTTTTTCCTGCAGTGACTCAAAGTGGGTGAATACTTTTGGAAAATGTAATTTGTGTTTTATAGTTCTAATTTAGATCATTTTTATAGAAATGATTTCACTTTGACCTTCAAGGATTTTTTCTGTCGGCCATTAAATGTGCTGTGATTCAATGAGAAAACATTTCATTCAGGTGAAGGACTGAAGCTAAATGCAACTTATTTCCTCAACACAACCCCTTCCTGTCGAACCCATTGAGGTTTGGATGAGCTATTCAGTACTTTGGGGTCAAATTAACTTTTGTGCTAGAGCTGTATTTCCAAGTGTATGACCTCTTTCAGTCAGAAGAAAGCCGAAAAATGATTTTCCCTTCACCTTGTCTGTCAGCCAGCATTATCATGCAAGTAGTGTATGATGTAAGAGAGAAAGTGAAAAGTTATTCACACTGAATTTTAATTTAAGCGTATTGATGAACAGACTGACCTCATGCATTACCCGGATTACTAAGCCAGTTCAATCAATGGATCAATTAATGTATTGTGCCCCTGAGAGCAGAAATATTTTCAGATGCTCCCACAAATTCAAACGAGGGCTACCTGATGGCCCGAGGTGTTTTAGGGGTGAGCAAGAACAAATGCTGCAAACCTGTCTGGATGGAAGGAGTCTGGCTGCTTTTCAAAGGTCCAGATTGTGCCAAGTTGGCTAGAGTGGAGGACGGATGGGGAGTTTAAAATGATGGTTCGTGAAAACGATCAAAACTTAAAACAAAATTGTACAATGCACATTGAACAGCTTTGATAAATTTAAAGACAAACGTGCATTCCCATTTTGACGTAAAGTAGATTTGTAAGGATTGTTTGCCTTGGTCCCTCAGGTCAGCTGACCTGGGGCTCCTGGCTGTCCCACGCTCCAGACTTGAGCTCAGGGGTGATGGTGCCTTTGCTGTGTCTACCCCAAACTGTGGAACAGCACCCCCTCCAAATCAGATCTGCCCCCATTGACTCATTTAAGTCCAGACTCAAAATTTGCTTTTCTTCATTAGCGTTCGCATCCCCCTGATGTGCCTTTCCCTGATGCATGCCTGTGTGTGTTGTGTCTCTAAATGTGTGAGCTGTGACCTGACAGTTGTGTTGCCTCTCATGTATGTGTTTTTAGCATTTTCTTTTCTTTTGCACAGCACTTTGGTCAACGTGAGATTTTTTTAAATGTACTTTATAAATAAATTAAAGTTGAGTTGAGAACAAAAGTATTAGCACCAAAATATATTAAGTGCCAAAGGTAAAGGGACTCATTATGCAGAACTGCCCATTTCAGTAAAATATGTAAGCTGTTATCATCATCAATGCATGGATGTCTTTATTATTCTAATGCTGGTGAAGGTGAGGATACATTTAACTACTTTATTACTACCTGGTAGTTTCATCTTCAATAACACGTTATTTGTTGCTTGTATTATTAATAATCTGAATCTGTGTAGTAGGCTAACTAAAGCCTTAAAATAAGTGTAGTGGAATAAAAAGTACATTATTTGAAGAAACAAAATGGTGTTACTCAAGATAATTATTTGTACAGCACTTATCTAAACAAGGTCACAAAGTGCTTCACAAAGTGCATGAAAATAAGATTACAGCATTTAAAAAAATGTTAAGAGCTAAGAAGAATAGTGTGTACAGAGACAAAAATAGAACAGGGGAAATAAAACACACAGCCTACAAATCAGGCATTAAAATGAAAACTTTTCCATAAGAAAATGTTTTAAGCAATGATTATAATATAATATAATCTCCTCAGGCAGAGAAATCCAGAGCCTCGGGGTCTTGATGGCAACAGCTCAGTCACCTTTAGTTACCAAACTTGATCTAGGGATGACTAGCGAGGATAGGCTGGAGGAACCCATGTCACGACTTGGAGCGTAGGGAGTCAGAAGCCCAGCAATATAACGGGGCTAATTCTGAAGTAAAGTACAAGAACCTCAAAAGTATGCTTACAAGTACAGTGTTTGAGTAAATAGCTACTTGCTTGTTTTACCATCACTCTTATTGTCACATTTGTTTCATCAGGATGTGTCAATCAAACTGACATTAATGACATTGTATTCATCAGTGAACGTGTTGATGTGTTGTCCGGCTGAATTTTCATTCACCTGTCCACTCAGGTTTTCCCTTTGGCCCCGGGTATCAGTGATAGTAATATGGCCAGCCTGAAGGACGGTGCCACTGAGGTTTCTTTTTATGATTCATTGTTAAATATGACAGCTGTGACAGCTTCCCTGCGTGACGTCTTAAAATCAGTTTTGCCATATGGACTCATTTATTTCTGTTCAGCTCCAAATAACATCTCTGGAGCTTTTTTTTCTTCTAATCGCCATTAAAGGTAATTCATCAAGCTAAATGAAAAACTGACAACACATGCCAAAAAGTTTCATCAGAGCATTAATGTCAAACAGGAATTGTACACTTTTGACATGTGCTGCATACTGCTTCATATTATAGTTAACTTGTTTAAGAAATTGAATCAAAGTTATTATAAAACTGATCCTCTTATATATATATATAATGTTTACTCATGAAGAGCACTTTTATAAAATACAGTTTTGTTTATTTTGAGGTAAAAAATAAAATGCCTGTGCACTTCTTAACTGAAACTTAATTGTAAGTGTAGGCTACTAATTGAACACTATTTCTGTTAAATGCACTATGGACTATGTTTAGAGAAGGCCTTGAGGCTCTATAAAGCTAAGGGACCGTTCATCACCTATCAGAGGAGGGGGCGGCTTCATTTATTTATTTATTTTATAATGTTGATCCTCCCCAAAGCTACTGTTGTTATTCCTTGAGCCTTCTCGAGTAACTGGCAGATTATGCATGACCCTCACTCCACCATAAATTTGTGCCAGTTATTAGATTTTTAAAGCTTATCCTTTAATGTTTGAAAGTTAAAAGTTGAAGACGAAAGCCTGGGGTTTTTCCACTCTTGCCGTGCATGGTGGTTAGTTAGTGCAAATAATTTGGTTATTCAGTTTAAATTAGACAAAGAATAAAGTGATTTTGATGACATATCACTATTTTAAGATCAGATTCGATTAAGTTTTTTTTTTTTTGATGGAAGAGGTTGTTGCACATGATGTGTCCAAGGACCGTTGGAAATTTGAAAATCCAATAATCATTTTTGGCTATGATAAATATATAATAGCCTTCCAAACCTGCCTGGGCATGATTTCATTAAGAATTACTGGTAAAATAAACACAAAATACAACCATTTAAATTTTTATGCTCCTCCCCTAAGACTAAAAAAACAAAACAAAACCCTGGTGCTAAAAAACATTAATCGACATGCCGCCCCTATTTTGTACCACCCCCATCCACCTTCATAAGTAACGAACAGTCTCTAACTGTTCACCAGGCAAGCTGCTTCTCCCTGTTTCCAGTATTTGTGTTAAGCTAAGCTAACTAGTTGTTTGCCTGATGCAGACAAGTATGAGACTGTTATTGACTTCCTGCTTCCTGCCAAACAGCAAACCAGTGTAGGGGCGACTGAGGACAGCTGTGTTTGCTACGATTTTTTATGTCAGAACATCAAGGAACACCACTGACCACTCTGTGAGTTTCATGGCTTTGAAAACAAACGTTTAGGGTGGGTTTAGGACAGGTTCACACATGGCCATAGGCAGCAGTGTTAAGCCAGGCAGGGGAAAGCCAAATTCTCCGAAAATGAGCAATTGTCACTATTTTGGTCTTAGCCACTCTGTTTCATCATAAACAACCCAGAAATGGGGCTCAAAGTGCAAAATACCGGACTTCTCCTTTAATACATTTCCATCCCTTAACTGTTATGCAGCCTTTAAAACCAGAGAAAAACACCATTTATGCCATATCACGATACAAGGATATCTAATCTAAGACGATATATAGTCTCATATCTCTATAACGATATAATATCTTCATATTGCCCAGCACTAATGTAGTCATGTTTAAATGGTATGGTTAAATAGTCGACACATGTATGTTTACTTTGTAAAAATTTGGTTAGCGAAGTGTAAATAAACCAAGCACAAAAAGTCAGGAAATTTGTGTTTGGTAGATTATTTCTTTGTTACAACAATGCTTCTTGGCAATAAATCTTAGCTGTTTGGCATCAGCGGAGAAGATTTGGCACACTTTTCATGGGTGCGACCCACATACTTAGCTCTGCTGCTCATCCCACAAATGCATGTTCCTTACAAATGTGGCACCATTTAAAGGGGAAATAAACAGGCTTTCCAACAGTGTAAGATTTATTGCCAAGAACAAAGAAATAATCTACTAAACTCAAATGTCCTTACTTTTTGTGCTTAGTTTAGTTTCCCAGTAACTGAGAGAAATCCAAAACGTATTACAACCGTCCCCGGTCACCCGTATTTCTTAGACCTGTTCCTTTTATGCACAAACCGTGGCTCCATCTCAGCATGACATCATTTCCAGCGCCTTGACAGCAGCTCTGCCCTCATGATTTTTTTCCTTTAACTATAAACAACTGAAACTCTGCATGAAACCTCCTCGTTCTCATTTCCTCTCCATCTATCCACCTCCTCCACCTCTTCCTCCGCCGCAGCTCTGTTGCGTCCCGCCGCGCTGACCCCCGGCTCCACCGACACGACCGCGGAGGGAACTATATGACTGAGGAGCGGGGGCTTAACCGCTGTCTGTGTGTGTGTTAGTGCGTGTCTGTGTGTGTGTGTGTGTGTGTGTGTGTGTGTGTGTGTGGACCGCGCACCGGCTGACTGACCGAGGTCAAGGTGGGAGGTTCGGCCGTAAACAGTTGGAGGGATGCTGCAGCCTGACAGCCAATTTACCGCCCGGTGTTGTTCCTGAGAGGACCTGAGTGTGAGCAGCTCTGCCGGCACAGGGTGAGTGATTTATCTGCTTTAAGAGAGGTTACAGAAAAACCTCCGGGTTTTATTGCTGTGTGTCGATTCACATTAAACTCTAATCTTATTTATTCTCTCTGTGGGGAACTTGCTGCTGTGACTTATAAACGCTTTAATGAGGGGATTGCACTTTTTTTCCCTGGTGGTGTGCTTCTGTGGAGGGACTGGCAAGTTTCTGCAGGAGGAAAACAAAAACTGGTACTCAGATTGTGTATTTGAAAAATGGCTTTCTCTTAATACGATTTTTGGGACTACAATGACATATTTTAGATCAAAAACAGGTCATATGGAGGTGAATATACACAATTTACAGCTTATAAAAGATGTCACTGACATATAGTGGGCTATGGAGCAGGAAAAATATACAATATACAGTGTATGAAAGATGTAAATGAAATATTATACATAGTTACAAGTAAGCTGATTACCAAAACATGAAAAATAAATAGACATATATATAAAAAACATCCCTATCTTCCAAAATAAAACTGTTAAAATAACAATGTAAACATTAGCATGGACCATAAACTTAAATAAACACATTTATACAGTAAAAAATACAATAGAAGTCCTTTATTGTCATTGTACCAGCACAATAAAATGTAAAAGCCGCAACTGTACACAGTGCAACAAGAAGAAGATATTGATATTGCACTTAACAGATTGGAAATGATAATTAGGACAGTATGTGCGGTATAGGTTTAGAGTTCTGATTTCCCGGGGAAAGAAAGTGTTTGTAAAATAATATCGACATATGAGTAGTGCGTATTATTTTACAGCTGGGCATGTGTATATGTCACTCCAAATGGTCATAAAGTTTGTTATCAGACCCATGAAACTAACCCTATAGGTAATTGAGCTCCCCTTTGTCCTTTAGAATACTGGAAAGTTTGAATTTTAGTACTCACCTTGATCTGATTATGCTCCACTGGGGATGCTCATTACTCCTTTAATGGTTTTTCATATTTGTATTTTTATTTTGGGGATGCATTAAGTAGTTGTCCACTGAGGCTCCAACATAAATGATGCCCTGGTGAAATAAAATCTTTCCTCCATCTGGATGAAAGAAGCAGACATTATGATACTTTTATATGAAGTTGTCATTTGTGAGACCCTCTGGTGGATGCAAAGTGTCATTATGTTTGTTTTGGAGGCATTGTCTCAAGATAATGAAGCTCAGTGAGAGGAGACATAACAAAACTCCCTGCATAGATGGAGATGTGAGCTGTAAAAGGGCAAAATGAGCTTATTCTGCTGTGAGACATGTGGTTAAGTGTCTTAAGAGGAAGCAGCCAACACTAATTACACTGACGTTGTAAATATTTCTACCATCTGTGACAAATTCTGTCTTGAGATACTTGTTTTGAATCTGCTCGAAGTCTCCTTTGCTGTTGTGTTTTTGTTATCACACACACACCACACTGATGAGCTTCTCCCTCAACAGTTGGCGGAGGAGTGATTGTTAGTTTAATTCGTGTGGTGGATTAATTTCAAGGCGCACATCACTCGGAGCTGGCTTCCAAAAAGCTGCAGTCCCTCATTTTAAATAAAAGATGGAGTGGATGCAAAAATTGCATCTTGAATAAAAGATGCTTGTGGTCGGTTTGGAGCATCGCCCCGGGTGGAGGGGTCTCATCATGTTCCTGCGTTCTGTTAATCAGTCGATCATGAAGAGATTCTGCTGTTATAAGAAGAGAAAACGTTTATGGTTTCACAGAGCAGATCCTGGCTCCCTCTCTGCGTTCCTCTGTGCCCACTTTCATCTCTTTGATCATTTCTTTGGCAGCTTACAAATGGCAGGACAGGTCTGGATGGAGCTAATCTTTTATTGATTATTGTCTGTCTACCATATCTCGCCTCACATGGGTAGATGAAGCACACCTTCGCTGGGTTTTCACTGTTATTGATACCTTGTGACTAATGATGTGATGTGAGGGTTTGCTTTCTGTCTTCCACTTCTCACTCACCATGAGACAGAAAATCAAGTTGTGCAGGTGCATTACGAGGTGTCACAAGTCGCACCATTGGTAAGTGGTGCCACGTCTGCGCAGGCTGATGATTAAGTGTATATTACCATATGGGGGATGTGCAGTTTAACCCATTTGTGCCCAAATTTTTCTCAATGTTTTTATGCATATAATCATGTTAACTGAGTCCCATATGAACATGTTCTAAAGGTATTTCCTCCATTTTGTGCTCTCTGTTCCAGAAAATCTCATTTGAATGTTCGGCAACTATAGTTGCCGGTGGGCACATACCTTGTATCTACCCCTCTCATGGTGAAAAGTGAATTAGAGCACAAAAAACAACATGTAATTCAGCTGTCTTTATTGAGAAAGACTTTTATTATTTAAAACAAGTGTGAGAACAATTTGATTCATGAATTTTGTCATCAAAAAACTTGGAAACGTCAAAATTCGAATTAAAATCTCCTGATTCGCACAAACTAAAATACACTCGCTATAGCCGGGTTTTGGTTGATAAGAAAAAAATGTTGATTCGCAAAACGGGTGATGGAAACAGTTATGTTCGAATTAAGTCTGACGTAGCGCACTTTCACCCCAACTGCTTCCGGTGTTTCCGGTTCACTCACAAGGCAAAAACATTGCGGAAAACAACAACACAAGACTTGTGTGGACGGAGGACAAAATAAGAACATTTCTAGCCTTAATAAGGCGGTAATGCATTTACAAGCTGGTTGCCAACCACCAGAAAACATAGAAGAAGAAGAATGCGAGACTTGTTTTGTTTTCAGTTCTGTGGAAAACTCGTGCAAGTTCGTAGTTTTCACCAAAGTCCGTACAATTAATGGAAACACACAGGATTCGTATTTCTTTTAATGCGCATTTCCCAATGATTCGAATCACTTTTGGATGGAAACATAGCTACTCAGGTTCTTGTCCATCATCAGTGATGGGTAGTTGCATGTCACCATCAGACACAAAGCAGTCTCCTTTGAGCAGCCTAGATGGCAGGCGTTTGGGATCACAGGTCACATCATCATCATCAGAAAAATCGCTGTCACAGTCTGTTTCGCGGGCATTATTCTCAGACTCTGGCACAACCGAAATGCTTGTGATTTTTGCAGAGGGATCATCTTCATCAAGGATGTCCAAAACCTCTGCCAAAGTATACCTCTCTAATCCTCCTGGTTTATCTCTGTGGAAAACACGAAAGAGTTTGCTCCCATGGCCACTGGGGGCCACCATTTTGTGAAATTAACGCAATTTGAAATGGATATTTTTTACCAAACAATTCCAATTCTATATCCCTGTTCATGTACAATAGTGTTAAAGATGTTCTCCCTGTATTTGACATCATTCAGTCCTTCTAATCTACCACACAGTGCAACACAGTCAGCGCTAACATTGGCAGCGCTAATAGCTAGCTAGTTAGTTAGCTAGGTAGTTAGCTAGTGCTAGCTACCAAACACTAGTAATGTTGGTTACCAAATGTTAAAGCTAACACTATCAAAAACTGTATTGTTACCAAATATTAGCCCTTTGTAATGTTGGTAATGTTAACTAACATTATTATCTACTGACAAGGTATGTGCCCACCGGCAACAATAGTTGCCACTTGGACAAATGATTGCATACAGATAAAACTATACATCCAATGCAATATTTCTGTTGTTTGGATTATTCTAGAGACTTTCATGATTAAGTAGATATATATATGTCAACACAAAAAATATTATTATAATATGAAAATCACCTTTACTTGTGGGGGTTTGTGGTCGCCATGCCCTCAGTAAGATGGGTCAGGAACCCAACAACGCCATGTGACAGGAAGTATGTGGAAACTTAATTTTTTTTCTTAATATGATTTTCTAAGGTGTCTACTCACATATCATTGATATACAAAACATGTATAGTATTTAGAAATGTATTTATGAGTGGAAAATGACAAGCATACACTTTGGCAACTATTGTTGCCGGTGGGCTTAAATGGGTTAAGAGCAGCACAGAGAGAAGAAACACATAATGAAGCAGCTGTAGTTCTGAATAGCTGCTCGTAATCCAAATTCCTGTCTTGCAAGAGAAAAATGATCAGCCATGTCGCTTTTCTTTCATTGCTTGATTGATTTCTCTATGAAACAGGTGCATTCTTGTCTGGTGGGACAAAAACTTGTGGATTTTCCTGTGTTGTATAACTAAAAATACGGCCTTGCATTTTTGTTCCTTTTCCAAAATTCACTGGCTGCTCGTTAAAAACTGGCGAAAAGGGGAAAATGAGGAGTTCAGGGAGTGATTGAGAGCAGAAATGGGGGTTGAGGAGTGCGAAACAACAGTGAATAAATTCTGCCCCAAACTCAGCAGAGAGCTGATTATACTGCAGCTGAACATCCACACCGTTCCCAGTGGCCTCGACTCGTTCCTGCTTCTCAGTGAAAGAAATGAAAGATTTATCGCAGGCCAGCTCATAGCCGTAGAGGAGCTGGGGCAAAATTTGAAGGAGTCTTGTGTTGTTCCTTTTTTTTTTTTTTTTTTTTGCAGTGGTGTTTAGGGGGCATACGAGGCCAAGGATGTAATAGACCTGTCAAGTGTCTCCGGGGAGGAGCTCCAGAGGAGGAGAAACAGGAGATTAGACAGGGCTGAGAAGGAGATAAGAGGAAAAGACAGAGGGATGAAGGCTGGTGGATGTTATTAGAGTGAAATTTAGGACACAAAGGGTATCAGACAACAGCAGATTGAAAGAGTGAGAGGTCACCTCATAGTAAAATAAAAATGTGACAGGAAACTAATGGAATTACTCAAAATGAGATTACTACTTTTTGATATTAAAAAAACATAGCACTGTTACGTGTCAGTTCAGAGAAGGACCCAAAATGCAGGTCACCAGACAGGTGGAAGTTTTTGACAAAAGGCGAGCTTCAATGTAGCTGGTCCAGGACATCCAAAAAAGGAAGGCAACTCAAAATCCAAATTAAAGCAGAACAAACATCAACAGGGAAAAAACACGATGAACAGGAATGG